CAAAAATAAGTATAATCGATAAATGAGTCCGTAGACTCGTTTCAGAGATTAAACTGAAAAGAACAGATACTACACTTGATCTAAGCCAAAAGGCACTGTCATCTCGTTAGCAAATGCATTTTTTCTCTGGTGAGGGAGTACTTGCAAGAGAGCTGAAAAAAAGAAAGAGGGAGGAGGACGGGAGGCCGACGAGCTTTTAACCTCGTGTGCGCGCTAGTGCCACGGTTGCGAGCCAATTGTGACGTCAAGTTGAAATTGCAAGAGCAAACGGAGGGAATCTTGATGCGAGTTTCACGAGCTTCGACCTTGGGTACATTGCTTGGCAGGTACCTCAACTTCACCGGTGATGCAGATTTGAAGATTCCCCTTCGACTTAGGATGGTAAAGGTCATGTTCAGTTGACAAGAGCTTCGGAGATAGTCAGATAGTCCGGACTGTCTGTGTCTACAATTCAACCTCGAAGCCAATATACCACGCGAGCACAGTATCAAACCTCCACGGGCTCCCAACCATGAGCTCGACCGCAACAGTCACGAAGCCGCTTACGGCTCAGACTGCGCCCTCACCTGTCGAGTTACTGAACACAGAATCCGCAAGATGGTGTACACGCCTGCATCCCGGCCTCGTGCTCGCAGTATACGCGATCCAGTTCAAAGCGATTGTAGCAGATCCGGTATCTGCGCTTCTTCGAGGGCTTCTGCCGCTGTGCATCGTCCAAACCGCATACGTCGCTATATGCCTGCCACCAACAGGCGCAAACTCTACGCCAGCGCCTAAACCAGGCTCGCGCCGCAACAAGCAGCCTCCCAATGCTTTGAGCCGAACTCTCAGTCTCGTGGGCGGTGTTGCGAACAGGACTGTTGTAGTATGGCCCCTCTACCTTGGATATACAACTGCTCATGCTGACAGTGACTCTAGCCGGCCTTTCTTTCCCTCGTCCTTGCCGTCATCGCTGGAACTCCCCTGCTCTTTACCACGCTGGTACTTTTCGGGGCTCCCTTCAGTACACACCTTCCGCATACCGCGCTTTGCGCCTTACACGCGTCGCTTCTTGCTATGCTTCCCCTGGTCTATGTGCATGGGGTCGACAGCGGGAGATGGAGGGAGATTGTGAGCCTTATGCATCCTATGGACGAGGTGTATGGGGCTACATTGGGAACTCTGCTTGGAGCTTGGGTGGGCGCAATACCGATACCTCTTGACTGGTGAGTGTATTTTTATCCATAGTTGATACTCTAGCTGAAAATTTTAGGGACCGGGAATGGCAAAAGTGGCCGGTCACCATCGTCACCGGCGCTTATATCGGCTTTGCTATCGGGAAGCTGGCTGGCGGTATGCTATTTAGAGGAAAAATTGTCAAGTTTGATCAGAAGCTAGAATAGATATTTGTTGTTAAGTACACTGCTAAACCAGCATCATCGATCGCCTTTCCTGATTTTACTAGGTCAGTCTGTTCGGGTTAGTGAAGCGATGTGTGCGTCCTGTGTCACAAGGGTTCACGTTCATTGAAGGCTCTCAAGCGACAACATTCGGTGTATGAAGTGAAGCCGATCAGGTGACACCGCGCTCATGATTTCAAGCCTTCACTCCACGTGGCCCAGACGCTGTTCCTCCTTTGACGCCTGCCACTCCTCACCATCAATCTACCGCTCTGTATCTTCGGCCGCATCCTTCTCGATCTTCGTCCATCAACACACCGAATCATGCCACCACAAAGGCTCCTGCAGGTGGCGGTCCAAGAGCAGCCATGTCATTTTCTTAGGATTCCAGCAGAGCTCAGACTCAAAATCTATCGGTTCCTATCCAAATTCGAATACGGGGTCTATCTGAACAGCTCATATTCCAGGTTGAATCTGGATCCTTTACGAACATGCCGTCTGATCTACCGAGAGGCCTTAGACGTGTTCTACCGGGAGAACACTTTTACGGTCGAATGTCATAACTTCGATGACCATGATTATCTTGACAGTCTCAATGTGGTTACGAGCCGATCGATCTACCGCCTGCACTTGGTCGTATTTCTTGACGAGGCAGACTACGACGCTCGTTATATCAGGGACATTGTCCGCTCTCTCCAAAGCGGCCACTGTCTCAAGGATTTAACGATAACCTATGACGACTCGCACTGCACAGCTACGGAAGTGGACGAGCGCATGTCATTGTTCAAGGACGTTAAGGTTCGCGGCAAGGTCACCATAAAACCTTACGGAGCGGCACCGCATGCAGAAACGAGCGAGACGGCAATGGGCAGGCTGATCCAGTCTATGCGACGTAAGCGCAACACTACATCCCAACGGTACCCACAGTCCACTGACTTTCAGCATCTAGTGCCTGAGCAGCCATGTTCTTTCCTTCGGATTCCTCCCGAACTTCGACTCAGGATATATCGTCTTCTCTTGAAGTCCGAGCGTCAGTGCATCCGTTTGACCAATGAATATAACCGCGGATTCAGTACCGGTGTGAGCATACTCCGGGCATCCCGTCTCATCTACCAAGAGGCTTCAGATGTGCTCTATGGGGAGAACACGTTTCACGTGTCGTGCTTGATGTTGATCTCGATAAGCTACCCGACCACTCTCAAATTCCTTGCCAACCAACAGATACGCCACTTGAAACTTGTTGTGAGTTTCGCCTATTCAACAGAATTCTCTCTACGCCGGATAAAAGATATCGTCAGCATCCTCAGCACCGTCCACAGCCTCAAGGATCTGACGATCTACTACCAAGTCTTCTACTCCCGTACTAATTTCCACTACACACCTGCGGAACTGGAACAGCGTCTGATGCCGTTCAAGCATCTCAAGACTCAGGGCAAGGTTACGATAGAGTGTGATCCAGACTTGGATCCGGGATTGCGCATGGAGATAAGTGAGACGTTCAAGGCCAGGCTGATCGAGTCTATGCAGCGTAAGAGCAAATCCTCTCCACAGATGCACGGTTTATTAATTCGCTTCCAGTGCCTGGACAGGATGATCGTTCATCGTTGATCCGCAACACCGAGGAGTCGGCACCGCTACGCTAGCCAACACGCTCGCCGATTGGCCGCTGCACTTACCACGAGTCTGAGCACGATGCTGTTGGTGGTGACTGCTAAATCTTCTGGTTCTGTGGATGAGCACCGTGGCTCAAAGTGGTTCTAAAGACCCTACAATTGGAGGGCAAATTCAAGGTCGTCATGTGGCATTGTGAATCCGACATCAGTGCAGCGAGGGGAACGAGGGACGTTGCAGCGGGTGAATTCGAGCTAAAGGTGCCTTTCAAACAGTTCTTGAACCAGAAAACGGTGCATCAGAAATCAATCTATCTGTTTGAAGGATTGGAATCGAGGTTGAATTTCTTACTGGCACAGCCCGGGCAATCCGTATCACGTGATGCCCGGTTTGAATTTAGTACAATGTTTGACCTTACCTCCATCAATACTCTCAGGGCCAACAGGCAGGGCGCGCCCGTGATGCTATCTGCTAAACTTCAAAAGAATCATTGACAACTAAAAATCCTTTGCCGGCTGTTCTGCTGATCCGCCTCACCCGGGATAGGCTGCTTTTCAGGCCCCTCTACTCGTGAACGAACTCCTACACATTGATCTGGCCTCGTTACGGTCCGCAATATACAAAACTCGCCGTGCTTTTCTAGGGTCCCCCACGTGCATCGAATGTCTTCATCACCAAGGTACCCAGGATCACAATTTCCACAGTACCACCGTACCGGTTCACCGAACCAAGGATCGAGTTTCAATTAAAATTCACAGCCTATTATCTCACGTTTCTTCTCTCAGCCTTTGGACCGCCTTCCTTCTCAAATTTTCGAGGTACAGCAGCTTGCACCGGAAGTGACAACGGGCGCGCTTGCTTCAATCGTGATCAACGTCGTAATCACAATCCGAAGGTTCCTTCTCCAAAGAGCTATGGAGACATCTGCGAGTACCGACAAGGCCTCAGACCCCGACGCACAACCCCAAGAACCAGCCTCGCACTTCCTCCGCCTAGCACCAGAACTCCGCATCCTCATCTACCGGCACCTCCTCGTCACGCCCATACCCATCTGGATCGGTTCGCAGCGCCTCGAAAAATCCCCCGTCCCGCCCCTCAACATCCTGCTGGTCAACAAGCTCATCTCCTCCGAAGCCGCCGAGGTGTTGTACACCGAAAACACCTTCGCGACCTCACTCACAACCTGGACGATCCCCGGCTTCGCCCCCGTCAGACATACCGCCTACCACCGCCTCCGCCGCCTTGAGCTCACCGTCGCGCTCTCCAAGGCCCGGCCGAGCTACTACGACAAGACGATCGCGACGTGTGTCAAGAAGCTGAACGCCGGCGACCGCCTCAGGAGCGTCAAGTTTGTGATCCGGAATTGGGACCTCTGCGCCTGTGATGTCGAGCGCGTGATGCTGCTGTTCAAGGACTTGAAAGTCAGGGGCGAGGTCATCGTTGAGCAGCGCCCGGTGCATACGTCTAATCTGCCGTTTGCGGCGTTTAATTTGAGGAGCAGCGGGGGGATTGGGCATGCGAGCTATGGGCTTATGAGTGAGAAGGCGAGGGAGGAGCTGGTGAGGGCTATGGAGTTTAAGTGAGCGGGTGGGTGGACCTTTTTGGGGGTAATTTGTCACGTGGGTTACTTTTGGAGGCGCTGTTCTGTATGAACATTCTGTATTGTATCTTCGGATTGGAGCTGGGGATGTACATGGGACTAGTCACGAAGGCTTCGGACGTGTATTCCTCCATTGGGCGTTAAAAGAGGGTATCGAAGACTATCTCCGTCTACATTGTCACGAAAAGTTCAGAAGACACCGCCTCCGTTAAAATGCAATTCGATTCTGCGTACGCAGATATCCGTTAACCGTCTACACCTTCTCTGCAGCCCTAAAGAAATGAGCCCAACCCAGGTCTAGAAAGAGATGTTCTTCTCCTGACGATGTGTACGTACCGGAACCGAGCGAGAGCAGGCGTATTCGGGTCGCTGCACCACATGGCTATATGATACGAATGGTTCTAAAGCGGCATAAGCGGAAAGAGAAAGATAGGACGCGAGGAGATCAGTGTACACTGAAGAGACATTTGCCCATAGAATAGGAACGAAGGGAATTTCTGACAGGCAGACATAGAGTATACCCTGTTGATACTCACTGCATGCAGCGAACGGCTGTACTGAAGTTGAACGAATGAGGTAGGACCGGCGTTTGCGCCCCTCGTTTCATACTGAATATGTGGCGACGCGTGTACCGCGCGGCTGCCTGAAGTGAAATGTGTTCTCTTCTCACTCGAGTCGCGTAATTCAGGATCCGACGTGTTCTCGAGGCACAAATCCCGTGCATCCAAGAGGTTCGGTGGGTTTCCGTGTGGTGGTGAAGGCAAGCTAGTCTCGCTTAGTCACGTCACGACCGTGAATACGCTAAATCGAATTCACTGGTAGCTTCAAAGCTTCTAGATTACATACGTCGCTGGTTACTTTTAAGCTATCGCCTCCGACACCGAAACCAACTCTCAACATCCATCTCTCTCGCACACACAACCCATCTCTCTCGCCCGGCGAAGGCTAGAAATCTCGCAGCATCACAAACACTCCTTCCACATCAACTCAACACTCCGTCAACATGTCGGCTGACCCAGATCACTCTCAGACCAAGCACAAGGTCAACCTCTCTCAGTAAGTAGCTGTTCGGTACACTCGCCGCGGATGAATGGTGGCTAACAGCTCACAGCGATCCTTCCGGTGCTGAGAAGCGAGACGTACGGATATCTCCACAAGCTCAACATGAGGCAAACATGCTCACAGACCCACAGAACGATGAGACCGCAACCGCTATTCTCAGGAGGAAGAAGAAGCCCAACTCTCTCATGTGAGTTTTTACCTCCATAGCTGGCCGACGCAACTTTCACTGATGCAAAGCGAACAGTGTCACCGACGCCACCAACGATGACAACTCGGTGATCGCCCTTTCAAACAACACGATGGAGACGCTCCAGCTTTTCCGTGGCGACACAGTCTTGGTGAAGGGCAAGAAGCGGAAGGACACTGTTCTCATCGTTCTAGCGGACGATGACCTTGATGATGGCAGTGCGCGGATCAACCGGGTCGTCCGCCACAATCTCCGAGTCAAGCACGGCGACATCATCACAGTTCACCCTTGCCCAGACATCAAGTACGCCAAGCGGATCGCAGTCCTTCCTATTGCCGACACCGTCGAAGGCCTTACTGGCTCCCTCTTCGATGTTTTCCTCGCGCCCTACTTCCGCGAGGCGTACCGACCAGTCCGACAAGGCGATCTCTTCACAGCTCGTGGCGGCATGCGGCAGGTGGAGTTCAAGGTCGTCGAGGTAGACCCGCCAGAGTTCGGTATCGTGGCACAGGATACAGTCATTCACTGCGAAGGCGAGCCAATACAACGGGAAGACGAAGAGGGCAATCTCAACGAGGTTGGATACGACGACATCGGCGGTTGCCGGAAGCAGATGGCTCAGATTCGGGAGCTAGTCGAGCTGCCCCTCAGGCACCCCCAGCTCTTCAAGTCCATTGGTATCAAGCCGCCGCGAGGTATCCTCATGTACGGCCCTCCGGGTACCGGCAAGACTCTTATGGCGCGCGCGGTCGCCAACGAAACCGGTGCGTTCTTCTTCCTGATCAACGGTCCGGAAATCATGTCCAAGATGGCTGGCGAGTCGGAATCGAATCTGCGAAAAGCCTTCGAAGAGGCAGAGAAAAACTCACCGGCGATTATCTTCATCGACGAAATCGACTCCATCGCACCCAAGCGTGAAAAGACGAACGGTGAGGTTGAACGTCGCGTGGTCTCTCAGCTTCTTACTCTCATGGACGGCATGAAGGCTCGGTCCAATGTCGTTGTCATGGCTGCTACGAATCGCCCAAATTCCATCGACCCTGCTCTTCGTCGCTTCGGCCGTTTCGATCGCGAGGTTGACATCAGTATCCCGGATCCTACTGGACGCCTGGAGATCCTCCAAATCCATACTAAGAACATGAAGCTGGGTGACGATGTAGACCTTCCGACCATCGCTGCGGAGACTCACGGCTACGTCGGTTCTGATCTGGCCTCCCTCTGCTCCGAAGCCGCTATGCAGCAGATTCGTGAGAAGATGGACCTGATTGATCTGGACGAAGACACCATTGACGCTGAGGTCCTTGACTCTCTTGGTGTCACCATGGAAAACTTCCGCTTTGCTCTTGGCGTCTCCAACCCGTCTGCTCTGCGCGAGGTCGCCGTTGTCGAGGTTCCCAACGTTCGCTGGGAAGACATTGGTGGTCTCGAGGACGTCAAGCGCGAGCTTATCGAGAGCGTTCAGTACCCCGTCGACCACCCCGAGAAGTTCCTCAAGTTCGGCCTCTCGCCGTCTCGTGGTGTACTTTTCTATGGGCCCCCTGGTACTGGTAAGACATTGCTGGCCAAAGCCGTCGCCAACGAGTGTGCGGCCAATTTCATCTCCATCAAGGGTCCGGAGCTGCTTTCCATGTGGTTTGGTGAATCTGAGAGCAACATTCGTGATATTTTCGACAAGGCCCGTGCAGCAGCACCTTGCGTTGTCTTCCTGGATGAGTTGGACTCCATCGCCAAGTCACGTGGTGGCTCTGTTGGAGATGCTGGTGGTGCCTCCGATCGTGTTGTCAACCAGCTCCTGACGGGTGAGTAATTCTCAACTACCTACTCTATATGACTCCGCTAACATCTCACAGAAATGGATGGCATGACCTCCAAGAAGAACGTCTTCGTCATCGGCGCGACCAACCGACCGGAACAGCTCGACAACGCGCTCTGCCGTCCCGGCCGTCTCGACACCCTCGTCTACGTTCCACTTCCCGACAAGGAATCTCGTATCTCGATCCTCAAGGCGCAGCTCCGCAAGACGCCCGTCGCCCCCGATGTCGACATTGAGTACATCGCCGCCAACACTCACGGCTTTTCCGGTGCCGATCTTGGCTTCATCACCCAGCGTGCCGTCAAGCTGGCTATCAAGCAGTCCATCTCTCTAGACATCGAGCGCACCAAGGCGCGTGAGGCTGCCGGCGAGGACGTCATGGACGAGGACAATGAGGGCGAGGACCCTGTGCCCGAGCTCACCAAGGCTCACTTCGAGGAGGCCATGCGCTCTGCCCGTCGTTCCGTCACGGATGTCGAGATTCGCCGGTATGAGGCGTTTGCGCAGAGCATGAAGAACTCGGGCGGGAGCAGCTTCTTCCGCTTCCCCGAGGAGGGCGGCGCGACCAACGGCAACAACTTTGGCAACGCGGGCGATGATGAGGATCTTTACGAATGAGCGGTCGTCTGTTCACAAGCTGGGGATTCTTGGGGCGTGTCAGGATGCAGGGCGGATTTTCCCTTCTCTAATGGGCTCGGGGTATAGCTGGCCATAGACTGTTCTTTCTTTGCGCTTGAATAGCATCGGTGCGCTTGTGGCGGCCGGTTAGGCGTGCTTCGGCGCCGGCTGGACAGGGGCTGCAAGCGTGGGGTTTAGGTAGGTAGTTAAGGAATTGAAGCATGCATGAATGATTAATCCACAACTCTCTCTGCAGGCGAAGCCATGGCTTGTCTCTAGAAGCGAGGTTTCGCCTCTTTGATTTCGCCAGGCATTGATGATTGAAAATTAGTCGCGGTGGTTGATTAGGTGTAAACTGCTAAGAAGATAAAGGATAGGCTACGGTACTTTCATAACATGAGTTCGAATCGCTGGGACCCTGTGATAAAGCTGTTTCCCTCTACTCCTACTAGCACTCCCGATGTAAATTCGGCTTCAAAAAATCCACTTTGCGCCGGAACGGCGGTCGGGTGACTCCCGTGATTGCGCATTGGGGGTTTCTCACGAATGAGTTTTTGCCACTTTGACTGCAATGAAGCTCAAATAGTAGAGCTCCGCATGCAAAATAGATTTTCCATGTCGTTCGGTGATGCTGAGATGTGAGGTCTACGAATATTGTCTCGGTCCTCTTCAATATGCTGATACTAGAGCTAGTTTAATCTGGCATCCGTCACAACCTTACTGTGCCATTCTCTGCTTCCCCTGCATGACCTTTCTCCGCTGAGCCATCATGTGCGTATACAAGATGTACGAGCCTATCCGCCCACCAACGAGTCAGCCAACCTGCGGGATGATCACACTCCCTCGAGCCCGTTCCCCACCTCGGAAATAAAAGGGGATGACCGAGCATTAGCAAAAGGGCGGGGACTCACCAGGAACATAAACCGCCAGCACGAGCCTCAAAAAATAGGCCCACGCAAGATTAACCCTTCCCGCCGGCTCAACCGCCTTCCACACCACAGCCACCTCGCTGCTGATGCCGAGTGGATAAAGCACGAAGAAGGTATTGTAGCGGAGCCAGGAGAGCCAGGCGGGTACGGCGCTGCTTTTGTCACCGCCTTCTCCTCTTGCTTCGCTACCTACTTCACTGCGGGGCTTGGAGGCGCCCCATAGCACGCACACGAAGTACGCATACCGTATCACCTCCGTGACGCTCCAGGCGAGCAGCATGGTGGTATAGAAAGGAGTCGAGGAGGCGGTGCGCGGGAAGAGGCGTGCCAGGCCTACAAGGAGGAGGCGCGAGGCGACTTGCATCGCCGTCGTGAGGAGTGGGGCGCGGACGAGTCCTGTCAGGGTATCACTGTTAGCTGAGCTCCTGTCTTCGTTCTCATCCGAACCGTTTCTGACCCCTCCCGTCCCCTCCGCACGGCATCCCCAGCCAAACCCCACCGCTTCCCATATGCAAAGCACATTAGGCACACCAGCCAGGGTTGTCCACCACCACCTCCACCTCCACCACTCCCCTCCCCAAAGACACTCTAAGCCACCCACCTAACGCAGCATGCCCCACCTCCGCCACAGCCCCCAACTGCGTCCAAAACGCAAAATCCCCCGTCGACCGATACACGCTTCCCCAGCCCGCGAACAGCACCGTCAGCACGACTCTGCCCAGCACAGCCGCCCAAAGGATCGTCGAGACGAAGTTGTAGGTCAAGAGATATGTCCGCTTTGCGCCGCCGGAGCGCGCGGCGCGAGGCGAGGGTTCGGCGCTGGGAGGAACTGAAGATGTCATTGTGGATGCAGGAATTGAGGGGGCTATTCCTCAAGTGTTGGTGTTGAAGGTTGAGGGGACTTTTTTGGCAGGGGTGCGGCTTGGCAGGGGACATGTGCCGATGATGCAGCTGCACGAGGAGAGAGAGGGAGCACTTGAGGACATGGGAGCAAGTAGGTAATCTGGGCAGCAGGCAAGGACCCTAGTTGGATCAATCCTGCCATATTAACTCTGTTCGATCCACCTATTTAATCGCTTCATAGAACTCATCAACGGATCTAAATGCAACAGATGCAACAAACATTGCCAACGCCGTGCGCTATGCAAGCTCGCCCGTCCTGGGGTATTCCGCGCACCGCACAACAAACTCCACCGTAGGACGCTGGAAAGCGAAATCCTCGGGCCGGATTCAAGACGAACAGAAGAAAACAAGCCGAGAGCTAGGGCTTCGAATTACAAGAACAGCTGCAGCATGCTGGTCTTCGATGAGCATTTCTTGCCGCAGCCCTCTACCACGCATATCTTAAACGGCATGGGCATGCTCTTTGCCGGCTCCTTGCCTTTCCGCCGTGACTTGGACCGGGCTGCTGTGCACTCGCCGCAGTAGACCTGACAAAGCATTAGCACACAACTAATAGGCAAGGCACAAAGCAAGGAAAACCTACATGGCCACATGCCCTAACGATCCACGCCTGCCTCTTGATCGCCTCTCTCCCCACCGCCAGCTCATCCCCACAATTCGGACACACCAGCACATCTCCCTCGACCGGACTCCTCGTGAAGCCCTCCGGCGGCGGCGGCGGCGTCACTATAACCGCCGGACTCGCGCTCCTCTCCCTCTCAAGTCCCATGTCGAACCCCACGTTCATAAAATCCAGCTGCGGCGCCACAAAAGCCGCCCCGCCAAACTGCCTCTCCCGGTTGTTCACCTCCTCGATCGCCCATCTGAGCCGCGCTTCCGCCCCTCGCAGCTGCACGTGCAAGGCCTGCGTCCGCTGCGCCAGTTCGCGCCGGTATGCCGCCACGCCGCCGAGGCCGGCTACGCGAAGCGGGAAGCCGCCGTCGGCGGGAGCCGGGCCGTTCACGCCGTTGCCAGGCGTGGCGGGCCGCTCGCTGATGATCTCGAAGTCGTTGTCGATGAGGTCGAGATCTATGGGTCTTTGTGGGTCGTCGGGTCGGCGTGGGGGCGCTGGTAGGCGGCGCGCAGAGACGAATTCGATTTCGGGACTGAGGGGTTCGGGTGGTAGTGGCGGTGCGACTTGTTGAGGGGGCGGTGATGGTGGGTCGGAGGATAGGTCTATGATGTTCCTGCCGAAGCGGGGCGCTCGTGATGCGGGACGCATTTGCTGTAGCGGGGGAGATGTTCGCTCTGAGACGTCGTCGGGGGGCTCTGGGCTGTTGTCGTCTTCGGATGTGAGATCGATGACCTGGGGTTCGCTTTGGGCTGAGGTTGTGGACATCGGCCGCCTGAAATCTAATCCGTCGCCTGCGTATCGTAGTGACGGAAGCCGTAGCTGTGCTGTTGTACTGTGTGCTTGTGTCGGGTGCCGTGTCGAGTAGGAGGGCCCCGCCGAGTCGTCTCGTACTGTGATTGAGGGTGTGGATCGCCGGCTGCTGTGTATGCTCGAACTTCGGTCTATTTGGTCGTGAGTCCGCTAGACAAAGAGGCGAAGTTAGCTGGAAATGTCCTTCGTCCGAAGATAGCCACTTCTTGCAAAGTTGTAGGGTGTGCTTTCGCACGGGTCATACGAACCTTCCGATTCTGAAGCTGGTAGCCGAAGATAGAGTCACCGTCCATTTTGAGAGCCACGGTGGTTAAGTCGCTAGAGAAGGAAAAGGACGGCGGACGGGTGAGGAGGGCGGAACCCGACCTAGGTTCTGGCGGTGGTGTTGGCGGAGTGAGGTGTTGTCCTGGAGTGGCGCTTCGAGCTGTGGGTGGCCAATGGGTGCACAAGTCTCGCTTCCTCGAAGAACAAAAAAGACGATTATGAAGCGAGGGAGGCCCGGTGACGTGCGTCGTGATCAATTCACCGACGAGGGCTCTTACGATTGTTGGGTAGTCAGCGATGCATCGAATGTCGCAGAAGGAGGAACTCACTGAGCTTGTGGGGCTGCCGTTGCAAACTGATCTTCTCGTTCAATGTCACCTGTGGGCCACAAACTTCACAAAGCTGTAGACAATGAAGAGTCTGTGAGACAGTCGCGTCTTTTAACAGTCAGGACAGTCGGATGAGGAATAAGCCAAGTTTTGTGCTAATACTATTCAGCTTGATCGTACCAAAGGTACATCACCAGACCCGAGCCCTTTCTCTTCGTCTTTTTAAGAAACACCCATATGCTACAATCGAGACGCCCCGCCCAGCTATCCAACAAGCCAAACCCCTCACGCAGCAGCCCCAAGCGTCATAAGCGCACCCTCCGCCGTCAGCGCCACAAGCGAATAGCCATTCGGACCCCACTGGACCGCCCTCGCCGGAATCGCCTTCCTAACCAGCTCCGACCAGCTCTTCGACGCCTTGGAATACTGCTCCACGGCAACGCAGCCAGGCCCCGCGACCGCCAGGAACTGTCCCGTGTAGTCCCAGTCCATGCCCTCAATGGCACTTCCCACATCCAGCACCTTGATGACCTCCTGCTTCCGGAGATCCCAGATGCTGACACTGGTTTCGCCCTGTACGGCTGCGGCAAGCCAGGTGCCGTTCTCGGAGAAGGAGATGGCATGGAGAGGGCCGCCCGCGTCGAACTCGGCGACAGTCTCTGAGTTCTCGGTCTGGAAAAGCTGGATCTTGCCGCTTTTGAGGCCGGCGGCGAAGAGGTGGCCGTCGGGATGAAATTTTCCGCAGGTTATCTCTGGGATGGGGTTAGCGTGCTGAGAAGCTGCTTAGATGCGGCTGGTCACTTACCTGAGCTTGTAAAGACCTGTGTGAGGAGCGTCATGCTCGACAAGTCGTATAGTATGAAGCTCTTGTCTACGCCCGTTGACGCAAGGATGTCTCCGCTGGGATGCAAAGCCAATGAGGTTGCTGCGCCCGCATGTGAACCAAGATGCGCAGCCCTTGTTCCATCCTGCTCGAAGACGTCGACGTCTCCTGTAGATGTTGCCAGCACTGGTTGAGAGCCGAACCACAGGGCGGCAGTAACACTGCCGCTGACTCCTGAAAGCCGCGACGCTTCTGCTTGCATTGAAATGGAGTACACCGCAGCGGAACCGGGCGCACCGCCTGAGAGCACTAGATCGCGGGTTTCGTCCAGTGCCATCGTCCGACTTTGAGGGTACAATGGATCCGTCGTCTGCACGGAGTCGAAGGATTGAATTGTTTCGGCGCTCGCCCAGCCTTCAGGTACTGGTCGTTTCCGCCGCGTGCTTGATAGCCTGTACCAGTGTCAGCGTCCCGCATCGAATCGCATCTTGGGGCCAGGGTGTCATACTTCTGCTGTGTTGCCTGCACTCTTGCTACCAGCGCCTCCGGCAGCCCCTGGTTGTCCACCTGCATCGCATCACCATTCGCCGCAGCCGGGCCTCCCGCACTAATCGTGATCTTCGACAGCGCATCCCTCGCCTCGTCCCTCTCCCTCTGCAGCCTCGCAATCACCCGCGTCGCCGCGTCATTCTGGTACAGTGCGGTGCTCAGCTCCTGCCGCGTCTGCGCAAGCTGCTGCTTGAGCTGGAACGTCTCTAGAGCAACGGCATCCCACTCGTTCTGAAAGGTAGAGAGTAGGGCTGGGATCGAGGTGAGGGTCGGCGGGCGTGGACGGACGATGCGCGCGGTCTTGAGCTCGACTAGGTCGTCGGTAGAGAGTTCTTCGCCGTTTACGGGGTCGCTACCGTGCTCGGCAATGTAGGCTTCGATCAGGCGCTTTTCAAAGACGTTGCCTGGTTACGTGTAAGCGATAGGCGCGTAGAAGGGACTTGGAGTGAGCGCGTACCGCTTTTGCGCGAAGCAACGGGGACTTGGGGCGCTTCTCCGGAGACTGATGATGGTTAGCTCTGCTAACGGACCCGTGTTACGCTATTATACTCACTTGCGCAAAGCATTGTGTCTATGTAAGGAGCCGAGAGTATCGTTGAATGCTTGTCCAAACAATCTTTCTACAATAATCTTGAACTGAGGCTGTCAGGCGGCAGATTCTCGGCCGCTTGATGACAGGGCCGTGACACACGTGATAAGGCGTCGCAAATTCCAACACCAAAATCGTGTTGCAAGCTGAGGGTTGACAGAGTGGAACAAGTAGGCAGATCTGATATCCTAAGAATCATTTTGTACCTTTTCATGTACAAGTATTCCAACAGACAATATACTGAGAACCAGTAAAGCGTGCGCTTCTCAAACCATCATCCAAGTCTTCACACGTCTCTACTTTAGGACCATGTTCTCTTGTCTTATATCCAGGCTGGAACCTATCCCCTCCCCATCGCTCTATCGACGCTCTCAGTCAAGACCAAGTCTCCTGTCCCCAGCCTACGGCCCCATAACCCTCCCGCCAGCTTTCCCTAACCGTCTCCCAACCCACCCCACCAACTTCTTGCACACCTCCTTCCCCTTCCCAACAAGCCCTCCTCTCCTGGGCTCCGGCATCATGGGCGAGTCCACTCGCACACTACTATCCGTCATCCTCCTATAGTTGTTTTTCATGCCACTAGTGACCTGGCTCGGTGCGGTTTTAGTGCAGGATGGTTCGGGGCGGCGATCGTCAACTAAGGACGGTGTTCTCCAGCTAAAAAGCGTACGCGTGAGGATTTTCGGCTTCCTATCTTCGAAGGGAGCGGAGCGGAGGGTTAGGAAAATTACATCTTAGCGCTTGGGGCGAACCACCGTTCAAGTCTCTATTGAGCGTCGCGTCTAAGAGTGCGGAGACAAAGCCGGTGTGGTGTTGTTTCCCCGATGCGTCGTGCGGCGTCTTTGTTAGGGTTGTGTTGGCTTCTGAGCTGGTGCTCCAGGGCATGGCTTTGTTCTATGGACATGTCGTTAGCAGCATAAGAAAAACTCACTCAAAGGCCCAATAAGTGTAAGAGATACGGTTTCCTAGCTGCCAATGCTCATGGGTGTACGAGCAACAGCCATGTTGGCCCCCGCTGAGCCCTGAGCAACAGTGCCCTGAATGCCTATTCGTACAAATGCAGAATCAGTAGTACCGTGACTGCCATGTCATCCCTGCCGTAGAGGAATTCAACCCTGGCAGATGTACTCACACACGGTCTGCCCACCCAATCAACGCCACGCTATCTCACAAAGCCTTCCCAGCAAGTGTCCTCATCCTCCCAAACCTTTCTGCCTTGCGCCATCAGAGCCGCAGCCTGTAACCCATCCCTATCTCCTCTCCTGAATCTTGACCGTATGCGCAAGCTCCGGAAACGCATCCCTAAACGCGGGTCCCAAGCTCCAGTTTGTGATATCCCTCAGGTGGGTCTCAAAGGCCGGGTTGATGCGCCACTGCACCACTCCGCCGTTGCCATCTGCCGCCTCCGGCGGTGAGCCTAGACGCGCTGCTGTTGAGAATGGTGAGGTTGCTGAGAAGGAAGAGGTTGTGCCTGAGGTGTGCGTTGCGGTTGTTGCGGTGGCTGGGATCAGCACGTCGCGCGCTGCGTAGGGCCAGTTGAGCGAGAGGGTCGTCGTGTAGGGGATGAAGAAGGCGTCGAAGGGGATCGCGTCGTGGGCGTGGACCATGCGGTCGCGGAGGCGGGGCCTGGTTAGGTTAGCATTCTTTGCTCCAATGCCCCGTGATGGCAGAACTGGGGAAGGGGGTCGGCATGGTCGCTAGTAAGAGGTGAGATGCAAGCCTACCACGGGATATGATCCACCCACGCCGGATGGTGGGTAAACAGCTGGCTCGGCCTCGGCGTCATCCAGTCGGGCAGTCGGTCGTAGTTCTCAGGCGTGGGCTCAACCTGCCAGCGCATGATCAAGAACATAATGAAGACTATCGCAACCTGCTCCGGTAGCGAGTCGACATCTGGAAATGTTCGCAGGATGTCCGTCATGACCTTAGACAGCGGATGAGATGGTACGGTTCCGCTTGGATAGAGAAGGGCAGAGAAGTTAGGATAGCGAGGCCCCACGAGCGCTTTACTGGATGCGCCTTCGGCGGCTTGCGCGTGTTGTTGGGCGAGGAAGTCGATGAGGAGGTTATCGAGCGGGCAAGTGGCCTCTATCGTGAGGGGAAGTGTAGAGTGGGCGACGAGCGCGCTGCGGTCACTTGTCCTGGCGGGCCCGGGGGAGGGCACTGCTGCGTGCGGTGAGGTGCCGTTCAGCCCTCTGGATGGATGGTGCTGGTTGCTGTCGAGGAGGAAGGGCAGCCCCAATCGCTCATCAGCCTGCGAATAGCCCATATCTTGTGCCATGCTGTCGCGATGCTGATCCTGCTGGTCGAACGGCGGCGCGTATCCTCGAACATGGCTTGTGGGCGCGAGGCCCGGGAAAGACCAGTGCCGGTTCGTTGACGTTGCGCTGGCGGCCGAAGGCGACTCTGCCTGACTGTTGGTGGCTTCCATGTCAGCCATGGCCGCTACCGGGGGAGGATGCGGGTGCGGTGGTGGAGCGTGTAGATGCTGCTGCGCTCGGTCAAGATCTGGTGGCTGCAGCGCCATTGGGCTGCGCTCAGCAGCGGCAGCAAGATCTGTAGACATGTGAGCTGTGTTTCATCAACGCGATCAGCAACGCGTCAAGCAGATGAAGGGATCTATATCCGTTGTGCTCAGTGCAGCTCCAGCGGCGTCAAAGAGCTGACCGCGATTCTGTCAGGCGGCCATCCTCTCGATAGATCTTCACCAACATCGTAAAGAGACTCGTACCATTGAGGCCTTGAGCTCCAAGGGTCGGTTGGATGATGCTCATGATTGAGGCTAATCGTTGGCGAAGGTCGTCGTTCTCTGCTTGGACGGCTTCCTTCTGCCTGAGCACCGTCTGCAGCTCATTGTACGGCTGCTGCGACTCGAGCTCATGGATCCGATTGTTGAGACGCTCGATCTGGTTCTTGGTTCTCTCACGGATGGCGCGCTGGGCTTCGCGGTCATTAGCACGCTTCCTCGCCAGCTGCTCTGGGGTTAAGTTTGCGACTCCACGGGAGGAGAGGGAGCCGGACGTTCGACGTCGCTTAGTGGATCTCGCGTTCTCTTGACCGCCATCGTCGCTGGTGCGGTGGTTAACGTTGCTGTCGGCCATTGCGGGTTTAAGTAAATCTGGGGGTTTGAAGCTCACGGATGAATCGAAACACTGCGAATGCTGTGCGCGAGTCGTGCGAACTGAATCGTAATGGGGGAATGACGGGAAGGGTCGCGAAAAAGACAAGGGTTGCTGATGGTTGGTGTTGCGGGTTTGTGGGGCGCGGTGGGGAGGCTTCAGTCCGCAAGCGAAATTTGAGCTTTAGATTTGATCGTCCAAGCTTCCCGCAGCAGGGAAACCTGACTGCGGGGATCCTCCACCACCGCCGGATAACGCAACCCGGCCAGCTGCAGGGCTTTTGATAGAGGTACGGTAAGGGTAAGCAGGGGTGATAGTGCTTGATCTCCTCTTTCTTTGCACCTTCACTGTTCACCTCTATCTTGTCTATAATCTCAGATTCTCACTATCCTCCAGCAAAGCTACAAGTCCTCATCCCTCACATCAATCTCTTCAGTCCACCATGATTGAAAAAGCCCCCACGAACCCCAGCAAGCTCAGCCTCGCCTGGGTCTTCATCCGCGCCTGTATTGCTCCCTTCCAAGTCCCCCCAGTCCCACTCCTACTTACAACCCCCCAGTCGCCGCCCTCTTCAAGCGCATGGTCGTCTCGCCCTTCAAAGGCAAGAACGGCGCGCCCACCTACTTCAAAGATGTCATGTACGCCATGCTGCGCGCCCAGCTGGGCAACATGACAATCCCAGAGCAGAAATATCTATATCCCCCGACGACTGCGACATACTTGCAGGTCGCGAAGGAGAAGGGCTTTCAGCCTGACAGCGTGGTGTTGCCGGATGGCATCCAGGCGCATTGGCTGGGGCCGCGGAGCAAGGAGAAGGTGATTGTGTATTTCCACGGTCAGTCGGTGTCTGGAGCTGTGGTGCTGACGGGTTGAGCGCTGAGGCTAATGTTCGCGCGCGTGGCAGGCGGCGGCTACGTCCTCCCGGCTGTGAAGGCGCTGCTGGAGTATCTCTACGCCTTCCAGCAAGAGGCAAACAGCGACGGCCACTCCGTCTCCGTGCTCATGCTCGCCTATACCCTGGCGCCCGAGGGCCAGTTCCCGACGCAGCTGAAGCAGGCGGTGGAGCTGATGCGGTATCTGTTCGAAACCGAGAAGCGGAGTCCCTCGAATGTACGCCCTGCCATTCCCATCCCCATTCTCCTCCCTCTCTACCCTGCACCAACCAACACAAGCAACCCTTCACCCACCCGCAGTTCCAACCAACCTCACTAACACCCCCCAGCTCCTCCTCGCAGGCGACTCCGCAGGCGGCAACCTATGCCTCTCCCTCCTCTCACACATCCTGCACCCGCACCCCTCCGTCCCCGCCCTCTCCCTCCCCACCTCCTCCCCCTCCTCCTCTCCAGCCAAATTCCCAGCCCTCCTCCTCATCTCCCCCTGGGTCTCCTTCACCTACACCACCCCCTCCTTCACCACAAACGCCGAGCGCGACGCCTTCGGGCCCGCCTCCCTATCCCGCTGGTCCGCCGCCTTCGTGGGCAACAACATCAGAGACGAGTACGTCGAGCCCGTGCGCGCAAGCGCAGACTGGTGGGCCGGCGCCTCCGACGTCGTCGAGGACGTGCTGATCTGGGCGGGCGAGGCCGAGGTGCTCGTCGACGGCATCATGGCCTTCGCTGCGGAATTCAAGCAGGGGTTTGACGGCGGGGATGAGAAGAGGAGGGGCAAGTGTGAGATCGTGGTCACGAAGGATGCGGCGCATGAGGAGATGGTGCTGGAGGCGATTTTTGGATATAGGGAGAAAGGGGAGGCGGCGAGGGTTGTCGAGGGGTGGGTTAGGGCGAGGTTGTGAGATCTGGTGGGCTGGGAGGGGGGGTGCGCGAATAGGAGGGCGCTGTTTTGGTTTCTCGGTCATGCTTGCATGTCTACCTGGGAGCTGGAGATGAAGGACGGGGAGAGGAGGGGGGTTGGCTCGCTGGGCGTGAATACTGCGGATGGGAGTTCGCCGCGCGAGTGGCGGAGGGCCAGTGTCGAAGCAATTATGTAGCGGCATATCATTCATGGCAAGAAGCCAAAATAGCGCGTAGAACATCCTGTTTCTGATTATCGGAAATATGTTTCGCTGTGTGCGTTTCCGCTCATGCAATCTACATGAAAGCCCAACCACCTACTCAATATACAACCTCTCCAGCGACTTCCACATGACAACTCGCTTCAACATCTGTACATCTGCCTTCATCTCTCTCCCCTTAGATCCATTAATGATAGTCGTGTACTGCATCGTCAAAGGAGAGTCGTGACCCGCGATATCCGAGTCTCTCTTTTCCCCTCCCCCCCTCCGACCACAAACCAAACGCTCAAAAACATGTTCGACAGAAACAATGCATATGCTAGAAGCAAAAACCACCAACTCCCGCGAACCAGTAAAATCAGAAAACGCTCTATAGCAAAAAAGCAGCCGCGCCACCGCCCAGCACCGCCATGGCCGGCAGAGCAACCCGCCGCGGCACCGCAGCCGCCGACTGCGCCCTCGGCGTCCCCGAGCTCGTCGTCGTGACCTGGCCGCCCGCGGTCGCCGTCCTGCTACCCGGCGGTGTGACGACCGCGTAGCTTGTGAGGGTCAGCGGCTGGCCATTCAGACCCGTCACCGTCTGCAGAACGAGGCTGCTGATCTGGCCGCCGCCGGGGGTGTAGGTGGTTATAAACGTCGAGCCTCGCGCGTCTGTGGTCGTGACGACCTCGCCGATCGTGACGTCGGACATGATGACGGTGTTCCCGAGGGAATTGGTCGTCGTGATGTCGATGCCCTCCTCTGGGACGGTGGCGAAGGTCGGGACAGGGGAGGTTGTGATGACGATCGAGCCCTGCGCGTTGGTCGAGGAGAGCACGACTGCGGGCGCCGTGGTGGTTGTCACGACGGTAGAGCCGGCAGAGTCGGTGGTCGTGACGGGGATGACGACGCTGACGGAGGCGGAGACGAGCGCGGATGTCGTGCTCACGACTGTTGAGCCCGCGGCGTCGGTGGTGATGACTTCGATGGGCACGATGACGGGTGGGGTCGTGTTCTCGGGCTCGGAAGCGGAGGCAGTGGGGGCGGGCGCGAGGGCGGTCGTGGTGGATACAGTGACAGATCCAGCGGCGTCCGTGGTGGTGATCTCGACGGGGATGACGGCTGTGGTGGTTGTGACTACTGACCCGGCGCTGTCGGTGGTGGTGATCGCGGTAGTGATGCCGGGCACTGGAATAACAACCGTTGATGGAGGTGGAGGCACACTGTCATCAGGCGACGCAGTTGGTGATGCGACGTTGGACGTGGGAGGCGCGACAGTGCTCTGCACATCTGAGCTCACAGGTGGCGGCGGCGCTACAGTTGAATTCGAAGGTGTTTGCCGCTTCAGGAGTTCCAACCTCGCGGCCTCGATCAGCTTCGTCGCCAGCGGCGGGTTGTAGTCGCGCACTCGCTCCACAGCCGTGCGGTCTTTCTCGAAGACGCCGTCCTGGTATTTGGGGTGCAGGTGACTGTGTAGAGCGGCATGGAGAGACTCTGCCGGAAGGGCGTTGAGAAGCTCCTCGAACTCTGCGTTTGAAGTGACAGTTACGTCGATTTCTTGCGATGTTGATGGCTCTGCTTGTGCCAGTACTGAGGCTGCCAGTGGCAGGAGAAGGAGCAGACTCCGTATTGAGGGCATTGCGATATGTGTTGTTGAGGCCGACTTCAGTCTGTTGCCACTTCCCTCAGGAGACTGTAAAGTCGTGAACGAGTGTTAATCTGTGCCGCGAATTGTTAGTCTAACGATCCATTGAGAAGGCCATGCTCTTTCTGGGGCTCCACGGCGGAGGATAACCGGCTTACCTGCAGCGGTCAATGCGAACTGGTGGCTGGGTAACAAGAACGTAGCGTGTTCGCGCAATGGGCCCGAGTGGCTGGCTGACAGAATTGTTGAGATGTGGTTAATGTAGCGACAGGTCCTGGATTCCAAGCGTTTACTCTCTCTCAGCGTAGATGTACAGGAAAACGATGGTGTAGGAAGGCAGATATGCAAATTACGGAGTGTGAGGATAAAGCAAGAGAAGATGGAGACGGAGGCGAGGCTCGAAGATTTTCGGCGCAGCGGCTTGAGGCCAGCCAAGCGCAGGCGAGTTGCGCTTGTTCTCGCAGCGTCACGGAAGACAAGACAGGGGGTTTGCCCTGCAGCTCCAGGTTTGACAGCGAGCTTGGCCCGGGGGGGAAGTTGAAAGCACCGGGCCTTTTTCGCCTCTGGTGTTTTTGACTGTTTTACGCAAATCAGCGCCAGCCGAGCCGTCGATCTTCATTCTTACTGGGTCATCGACAGCTCAATTTTCCATCCTGGGAGCGATGTGACGGATGCAACGCCGAATTTCATGCCCAGCCTATCGACGGGTCCAGAGCGGCGAAGCTGTGATGGTCCGCGTGGAAAACGCCCACACGCAAGACAGACGCCTCGCTTCAGCAGGAGCTGGGCGCTGGCAAAGCACGCACATGACGTTTATGCTATCCAGCGCGCCCGCCTCCATCTTCACTCGTACAGCGCCGGGATTACCATCAGCAACTCTTCCAGTCTCAAGCTGCCCAAGTCAGGCCTCCAGTCAGTCGCTGTCTCTTACGAGTCAGAAGAGCAGAACGTCAGCTAGAGCGCCGACCTGAGCTGCAAACCACTTGCAAACTAGAGTCAGCGCGCAACTGCAGCGTCCTGCGTTTCAGGCGCGAGCCGTGCCCCAATGGAGTGCGAGACCCCCTTCTGCAAGTTGCCTCTGTGCCGGATCCGAGTCGCTCGTGCTGTGAAACTGCGTGCGTGGCGGGCAGATCAGAGGGTTAAAAATAGGGACGGGTGGAACGTGGAGCGGAGATCAGTCAGTCCCCGCGTTTCCAGATCACTCCGCTGCGGCTCTTATGTTTTTGCCACATGGAGCAGGTCTGGGACACGACAGCAGTGGGAGGACTTCAGATAGTTTGGAGTGCTGCTATGAACTGGACACGACGGTGCATCTCGGCCATGTGCAGGTGCAGAACGCAGGGAGTACGAGTTTAGATCGTGTTGCGTTGAGCCAGTTGCACAGAGATCGCCATGTATCCAGAAATATCGCTGCCTGTCTGCGGCCCCCTGAAAACTCACGTCGTGAGAACAACCTTTACATTAAACACAGCTTCCTATCCCGAAGGATGTAAAAAAGGGCGGATCCCAAGTGCTACTGTTAGACAAGTGAAGGCGAATCCAGTATCGCTATGTCCAGCACCTCCCCAAGTCTCCAAAACTGCGCCCATCGCTACCTGAACGTCTCTACCACTCCCTTACAAAAGAAATGGTCGCCCCAAAGTTGCTTTCCCCCAAACCTAAGCTCCCTGACTACCTGGTACAGTAGCAGCTGGCGTCGGCGTCGTAGGGTCGTCCGAAACTGCCTGCTCGCTTGCCCTCGGCACGTCCACCGACCTTCCACGCACCGGCAGCATCTCATTTGTGGACAAACTGCCCCTGGAGCCCGCCAGGTCGACCTTGCTGTCCTTCCCATTCGGCGGACTTTTAGCCCTCCTCTCCGCCTCGCGTTCCTTGCGCTCCGCAAGCTTGCCCCGGATCCACCCCATCGGGCCCCTTCTCTCCAGCTCCCTCTCGGGTGCCTCCTGAGCCGCTGCCGACGACGGCCCTTGCGGCTCGGCGGTGAAGTATGGGTTCGTTTCTACGAAGCTGCGGCGCTGCGGCTCCGCGCTGCTGCCCATGGAGCTCATGCTCTTCTGTGCGCCCGCGTTGGAGCCGAGGTTCGACGGGCCTGGGCTTACAACCGCCTGTGCCGTAACTGTCTTATCTGAGTCGCTGCGGTGGGAGTGTGAGATCCGCCACCGACGTTTCTTTTTCTGCTCCTCGGGCTGGTCAGCGTGTGAAGTTGGCTCGTCGCCCTGCTCGACTTCGGAATAGTCTGCCACGGTAGACCGAGAGCGTGTCGAGGCTGTGGGCGACATGCTAGGCTGCTTCACTTCCAGTGCGCTTGGCTTGCTAGGCATTGTCTCGAGGGTAGACGCTTGTGGTTGCTCCCTCAGGCTGTCGGTAGGTGCGTAGCTTAGCCCTGGAGGCAGTGGGGATGGAGGCCCATCGCGTCCGGCTAACGGTCCGCTCAAAGAGTGAGTCGAGCTGTGAGCACTTGCGGTCGAGCTGGGAACACGCTTCTTGAGCTTGTTCGGTTTTCGTGACTCTTTGTTTGCATCGGCTGGCAGTGCTTTGCTAAAGAGGATTGCGAATGGGCGATTGCTGCTACCGGGAGTCTCCATAGGCGTAGACATCGCATCATGGTAGACACTTGTCGTGTCGTCTTTGACAGGGGTGGGCGGAGCGAGGTGGGTAGTTTGCTGCGGCGTAATGTCATCTGCGGTAGCAGCGACCATGCCTGTCGAGGAGCTCGTACCTGGCGGAGGCGCCAGGGGAGTAGTGTCCTCGCTGGATGGAGGCGAGGCGACGTCAGGAAGCGTGATCTGGGTGGGTGCTTGCTCCACGGGTGGACTGGCTACGACGGACGCAGCGCGGGCTGTCTCTGCAGCTGTTCCGTTGGTCTCGGTCGGCAGCGGATGTTCAGCTGTTGGGACTGGATCAGGTATAGTCGGCGTAAGTCCGAAGGCAGGCTGCGGGATTACTCCTGAGGGTGGCGTGTGCGGATCTGAGGATTTGTCGCGGTTAAACCGAGACGATATCACAGCAGGAGACCGCTTGGAAGGAACAGTGTTGCTCCGGTGGACAGCCGATCCTGTAGTGGGGGTAGCCAGGGGGCTGTTGAACAACGGTGTGGCCGGACTCGGAGCAGCAACGGATGCGGATATCTTTGATTGCTTCGAGGAGACTGAGACGTTTCTCCTGACCCCTCCAAACCTGCGAAGGCTCTCGGCTCCTGCAGAGCTAGCAGTGGATCCTGATCTGTCGATGCCTGAAATGACCCTCGACGTGGTAGGTGACTTCCCCTGCGGCGTTGGCGGACCGCTCTGTACCTCTTGAACAGTCTTCTCGTCGGCAGCTGTGCCTTGCATACCAATGAGGAAATGATCTTGGTTCTCTATCAAGAATATCAAGACATCTTGGCTGAGTCGATACTCGCTTGGCTTCATATCGTGGGTCGGATGTGTGAGGATACCAGGTTGGAAAATGGCTGCAAGATTAGGCGTAGGCATCTTGTTGAGATCTGATTTAGAAGCGAAGACAGCGAGCAGATCCAGGATGTAGAGAAGTAGCTGGCGATTGAGCGGCGGCAATTCCGTGATCAGCTGCTGATAGCATCTTATGGCGCCTTCTACATCAAAGTCGCCCACCGGTGGGGCCTGACCTTCAATCTGGCCAACCGCTTGCGATTGGTGACCGCGCAGAGGATCGCGGAATTTTTCGTAAAATTCCAAAGGTATGATCGGCTCGGGTAGCTGGTTGAAGTATCGTCGAAGTATATTCGCGGCATCGTGGACCGTATAGCCGGTCCAGTCAAGACCCTTGCCATATCGGTCGGGGGAGTTGAAAGCGTTTCTCAGCTCCTTGATTCGCTTCTCGGATCCGCTCAAGCGAAATATGCCCTCTACATCGGTTGCTAGGAAAATTAGCCAATGGTGCGTAACGGCGGGATCTTCACAAACCTTTCTCTTTCAAAAAGACTCCGCACTTGGCAACAACAATGGGCACATAGCCGTATATGTAGCTCCGCCCATCGGCATCGTACAGCGATATTGCAACATTGGCGTAACGGATGCTAGTTTGGAGAGGAACCCCAAAGATTTCCGGTAGTGGTTGGATCTCGGCTGTGAAAACACGAGCTTTGAGTTAGTCTTGGTGTTCTACTGCATGGCAAACCTGGGCAAGACACAGATGCCATGGATATGAGCTTCTGGCGGTGAACTGGCTGACACGAAGGGGGGATGAGTCAAAAACGTGAGATATATACTTTTGTCTTCCTCTTTCTTTCCCGCCCCTCGCTTGGAGAAGGTCTTCCACCACGAGGTCAAATCCCTCTTGGAAGATGCATTCTCAGTTGTCGCCATCGGAACTGGCTGAGGCCCCCCGTTGTTCGCACGTTGCGCCGTCGGCCCTCCGTAAGCTCCGCTTGCCATGTCGTCCGACAAGCCAAAAGAGATGGCGCCCTTCGCAAACTGATAGGCTGATATAGAGGACCCAAAACGGATGCGTGACTGTCTTCCTGACCAGAGATACGAAGGTACGGCGTCGGTGAGAGTATTCCCAGTCGAGCGCGGGTCGCAGGAGCGTAGAGCTCTTCAGACGGTATTGTAGGCGACTACCGGTGTCAATGACGGATGCGCACGAAGTAACCCGATGGTAAGCCGTGTTTTCTCAGCCTTCCTCTGAAAGACGACGATGGCGTCGTTGTGCGCCTGGCGGCTGCTGTGGAAGACGCTGTGCGATGTGAGACTGCGGTATGCGAGGGTACGACCGGTCGGAGTCGCGACGAATGTTCCGCAGCGGCGCAGTTGGAGAGTATCTAAAAGTCTGGAGGATGGCTGCGTCGCGGGTGCACGCTGAGTGCATCCAGGGTCAGGTGCGTCGCTTTCGGGCAACGATCGGGGTCGGTGCCAGAACGAGGGACAGCCAGGCTTGATGCGACCGCAACTCCACGAGAGAGCAGTGGGCAAGGTGGCTTGAAGCGTGTCGGAGGCCGGGAATAATCAAGAGGCAGACGCGACAACGGCGTTGCGTGGACAGCGAGGAGTAAGAAGCACAGCGTCGCCGAAGGGCAGCCCCCGTTGCTGGATGTCGCAGCGTGGAGATAGATATTAATAACTTGGCTTTAGCGCGATGCTGTGGGAGAAGGCCCCGGTCGCGTATTGGGTGCCAGGTAGTTATCGCTCTCCAGCCCCCCGTCAAGCGGACAGTGTGATCGCAAATTTCTACAATAGGCTTACGTGGGCGTGCAGAATGCGCGAAAGGTGTAAGAAGGTCGAGAAAGAAAGCTCGAACAATGGGAGAGCAGATGCTTTGGGCAGAGACGTCCGCCGGCCGCCCACCACGGTCTTAAGGGTCTGTTCGCTTGTAAAGGAGAAGGTCGAAGCTTCACTAGCTTCCCTCTGAGGAAACTCGACATGTGCACCATCAACTATCGACCAGCCATCCCACACGCGACTTGAGACATTAAGAATCGCTTCGACATCTGATTTCGATACACACGTCCAGCTTCACCCAGGATTTCGAAGATGGAAGGGTAGGATTCGTTCATCAAACCCCTCAAGCACATGCTGATAGCGACTCAGTCTGAATGCCTCGGAGCAGCGCGAGCTGCAATCGCGTATGGAGAAGAAGCAGATGAAGGAGTTTATGACAGTAAGACGGCTCCATCCTTTGCAGCGAGCCCAAGCTCTGCGCGAGTGGAGATTGTCGCAGCATGAAGCTGATTGCGCCTGTACAGATGTACTCGAACCTCGTCCAAAAGTGCTTCGACGACTGCATCAACGACTTCACCACCAAGTCATTGGGATCAAGGGAAGAGGGCTGCGTCATGCGCTGTGTGGACAAGCAGATGAAGGCTTCGGAGCGGCTGGGCAATAGGTTTCAAGAGCAGAACGCTGCGATGGCGCAGTCCGGTACGATGCCAGGGAGATAGCAAGCATGTTGCATCAGTCTCTCGTCGCTGTAAGGCAAACAAAGGCGCTTCGCAGAGCGCGCTTGCATATTCGGAATGGGGTTGTACTGGCGTCCGGTTCGCACCAGTCATGTAGGCTTTTTTGGGCCGTGTAGCATAGCAAACCGTTTTTCCTGCCGCCTTTCGCATCTCGGGACGTACAGCTCAGATGTCTAGGGCAGTCCAGGGCACCGTTGGTCGTAGTCATAATCTGTCGCCAAACACTGTGGATCTAGGAACGCTTTCACTATCCTCTCAAGCCATGGTGGAGAAACCCACACACACTTGCAAAAAAGAAATAGTCCGGATTGAAACCGCACGAGAGGACTAAAAGCCGTAAGCTCCTCCCAAGGTTGCTTCAATGTGTGATTCCAAGAAGAACAGCACCAAGGCTACACAGGTAGAATCAAGCCTCCCACGCACTCAGCCCACGACAAAGCCTGCTGCTCCACAGGCCGCGCTTCGCCGATCCCTTAGTGGTGCGTTAGAGGTGCATAGACAAGCAGTTGCTTGCCCGAAAAGTGAAGGAACGAGGACGGATCAAGCCCGGTTGCGTCAGCAGTGACGCCCGAAGTGGAAAGTGTGGCGGTGCATGTGGCTCAGCTGCGCCGCCCTGTTTTTATCCTGCAGCGCTTGGCAGTATCAGCTCGTTCATAAAGTGTCTCAGCTCGCGCCAACCTTCTCCTTTACATCCACCAAGAACACAAACTCTCAACATTCTCCATCGCACCTTTGGTCAGCAACAACATCTTCGCTCAAACTCCCAAACTCTCAAACACCCAAACACTACAACAACATGGGTCTTATGTGGACAAAGCAGTGGGGTGGAAGGCACGGTGGTAAGTAGCTTCTACATCGCCTCTATGGATAGTCGAAGTCTAACTCGTCGCCAGGCGGTGGTGTCGTTGTTGACAGGCACGGTCCCCGGAGAGCGCCTTTCCGCTTGAGTCTTGGAAGGTTCAGCTGCTTCCGCTGAGCGCGCATGGCTACCTCCTTCGACCAGTAAGTCGATCGTCTTCAGTCTTCAACTTTGCGCCTCAGCTCACACTTCTTGCAACAAGTCGGTGGCGTCAACCTCACATCTGTACACCCCTTCGCTCAGCGTGACGATACCCTCCTCACACGCTTGCGCGTCCCACGACTGTACGATACGGCACCCTCTCGATGGCGAAGTGCTTCTCTGATGGCTGCACACCCTGTGGCTTAATACTGGGCGAATTCTTGTTTTGGTCTTTACTGAGTTTTCTTGATACCTCACAATCAGCATCCTGCGTTCGATCTACATAGTTTCCGAGAATCAAAAATCAGAATATCAAACTGTCTTCTGCAGTATCCGCTTGCATTCTCTCATACCTAGCGCTCAGGGCTGCAGGAGCATGATCCTTGGCGACATGTATGGCCGACTGAGTTAGCTCCCGCCGCATGACCAGATCAGGCGGACCCTGAGAGCTGCTACGTCATAGGCCCCACTGTCGATTATCTCAAACATTGATGCCGTTCACAGTGGTCTCTTGTGCAGAGAAGAGTATCCAGGCCAACACAAACCGTGCTGCACTCTTCGCTATTCCTGCCTCAATTCCAATCGCGTTGTGGATAGCAAACACCAGCCCACCATGACCCACAAACGCTCCATCCTGATCATCAACCCCAACTCCACCCAGTCCATGACCAAAGCCCTCGAGCCCTTAGTCAACGAACTAGGCTTCAAAGACGTTGGTCCACCCGCCATCGCAGCTGCGCCGGCTCTCCAAGCTTAAACAACCTCAGTAGACCGCCTACACCTTTTTTACCGCACCCTCCGGCCCCACAAGCATTAACAACGAAGACGACGCCGCCGAAAGCGCTGAGCATTGCCTCCCGCACCTCAGACCGCTCCTCGACCGCCATGATGGCTTCCTTGTGGCTTGCTACTCGCAGCACCCACTCGTGCCGCAGCTCAAGAACGAGCCTGTCGTGAAAGATGGGCGTAAACCGGTGACGGGCATCTTCGAGGCGAGCGTGGCGACCAGCCTCCAGCTTATCGCGCCGAAGACGGCATTCGGCATCGTTAGCACGGGCAAGGTATGGGAGGACATCCTGCCTGCCGCGGTGGTCGAACACTTGGGCACAGGTGAGAATGGTAGTAAGAGATTCGCGGGCGTGGAGACGACGGGGTTGAATGCGACGGAGTTGCACGACACGTCTCTGGAGGAGGTCAGGAAGCGCATGAAGGACGCGGTGAAGCGGCTGCTGGGGCAGGCAGAGGTTGGTGCGATCTGCTTAGGATGCGCGGGCATGGCGGGGATGAACGAGATGGTGAGGGAGGCATGTGTGGAGGAGCTGGGTAAGGATGAGGGTGGCAGGGTGGGGATAGTGGATGGGGTGCAAGCGGGTGTTGCGTGGTTGGAAGGAGCGATTCGGACTTCGTTTTGAGATGCTGTTAGGTATCAGTGTTCGCTGAGCTTGAGGCTCGTCGCAGCTATTAGTCGATTTATGTCTGTTGCAACACATGTGCTGATAGCGCATCCTTTAGTACTAGCAGTTGCAAAAGCAGAAAACTTTGCATTCTCGGGAATGTATGTTTGAATATGTGAAAAGGAGTGGATAGGGTATCAAGTGCACGTGACACTATGGCAGCCTTGCCCATTACTTCCTCTACCTAACATTAGATTGTCAAACAAAACAACATACTCATGAGAAGTTCTCCGCCGTCACGATCATATCAAGAAGCAACTGCTCGTTGGATGCCGGTTGAGTCACTGCCTTCACCGAAGAGCTAAAACAAAAGCAACTCAGTCATCATGGTCTACCTGCCGGACGAGCTTTTGCTTCAAATCCTCTCGTATCTCAATACTGAAGCGCCCTCAATCACAAACTTCGCTCAGGAGCCGTCCCTCAACTTAGCCGTTTCTAAAGAACACTCGCTCAAGTCCTTCTCACTTGTCTCGCGCAATTTCCGCCGTGTGGCCTTGCCTGTGTTATTCCAGTATGCCCGAGTTGAGTTAGGGGATCACGACATCGAGGTGAAAGCTTTCAAGAACGACTTCAGATTTCGCTATCAGCCCTCTGCAAGATTCCTCAAGCTCGTAACTCAGCAAGAGCTTTGCCGCCATGTCAGGAGCGTCGTCTTGTACACAGCTTGTACTGTCCAGACGGGCAGTTCGGAAGCTATCAAGTCCCCTACTGCTTGGAGCATCTGGGAGGGCTTGTTCGCTCGCATCAATCCGAGTCGGGTTGTTATTGCCGCACCTCCTTCGTACCTAGGCTGGTTGACCAAATACTCACCCAATGAGAGGGACGTCTGGGCTTTTGACATGCCCATTCATATGCTTGAGCTTCGAACCTCTGCAGAAGACGCCTGCAGGCGCGTTCCAGCAGATCCGGATTTCTGGGACATCTTACAAGTGAAGGAGTGGGCCCACCTGGGTTACAATGAGGGCTCGTCGCTGAAGGCGTATAGCACGTACGAGTATTACTGGAAGCATACTCCGAGCTGTCTAGTGTACATGCTCCGGGATCCGGAAGCACGGGCAAAGCTCCGCAGCGTCGCGTACTACGCTATATTCCCTTTGAGCACCCACGTCGAAGACATCGCTAGGGGTGTCCGTGGGCTGCCTCTTATCGAATCTCTGCACTTTCAACTTGTGCCTACTCCGCAAAGCCACCTCCTGGACGACTCTGAGCGTATCGGCAAAGCGGACCTCACGGACTGCTGGCAGGAAGTCGGAGAATCATACTCCGCGTTTGTTAACACCATCTTCGATATGAGCGAGTATCCAACCCTGTTGAGCCGAGTCATGATCTCTGATAATTTCTCTGCGGAACAAAGCGAGGAAATGGATGATCGCTTTGACTTAGTGGGAGAAAGTGGCTGGACCAAGATTGTAGAAGGCTTGTGGACCCGGGAGCTGGCGAGTGCAGATGCATCGTAGGAGACAGTCAGCCCTTCCTTGGGCTGTTGGTGATTGTAGGATGCTCATAATGCCCGGTTCTCCTTCCCTACATCTCATCTTCTTAGAGTCGCCTTGATCAACGCTAAAGGACCACCGGCAAATAACCGTTATTATTTCTGTCTCTCTATGTCTATAACGCCTGCTTGGCGCGAATGCGGCCACTCAGAGAAAAGCTATCGGCGTTCTTCGAGGATATTCTTTCTCTGGAGCGGCTCGCTTGGGCAATTTCTGCTACTGTCACCATCGTTGTTACAAGAGACCAAGGAAGACGGCCGATACCAGCTCAGATTGCACTGAGTGCCTTGCGCGCCATCTTAAAACAGTGCGGAGTGATCCGCAGTTATTAAACCACCAATATAGCTACATTCTCCAAGCACGGATCATCAACTCCCGCCGAGTCCATCTTCATCAAGATCCATCACAGAGTCAGAACGCCAAACCACCCCTCCGCCCTCTCTGTGACCCCTTCACCTGTTCACGGAGTCTCTGCAATGGTACATCCGACCTGCCGACACCTTCCCACCTCTCACTCGATTGTCTAAAGTTGACTTCATCCATACTGTTTCATAGCTAATTCGCAACATGTATCCAACTTGGCTAAGCTACCAACGAGATTTGCCGCAAACCGATAGAGTTGACTTCTCAGGAGCGCTTTCCGGCTTTCCCGGGGGCGGTAGTCACTTGAATACGCACCACACCATACGCCCTACCTAGGGTAAGGTATACCGTACGCCCTACGTTAAGCTCGCAGTAAGCTAGCTTATTCTGGATTAGGTCACGCAGGGTCCTCGGTCCATCAGCAATCACTTCAACTACGAGTACCGACGGTGATGAGTACAGCTCGTTTCCTGGTATATCAAACAGGGTATAACAATTTTGGCAGACTTTTCCCGAAACCTGCGCTCAATATATTGCTGTCATGGCTGTACACAGAGCCTGGCAATCACCCACTGCCACATTGAGGAGTTTAAAGCGAACATCCCCGGCGATACGGTTTCAAGCTAGAGGTTCATCCGCAAGAATGTCCTCCCATTTTCGGGTGGTGCGGCATATCGTCAATTGTCAACATACGAGAGAATATCCTGCTGCAACCGCGAATGGAGACGATGATGTTCCAAAGCTTGCTGTCAAACAGTACATTCCCCTTGACAATCCTAGCCCTCAGCATGGCGATGTCACGATAATGGCGGCACACGCTAATGGATTCTCCAAGGTACGCTGGATCATATCGATTGAGTCTCAAAGAATATATCCTTACCAGCCTGGTAGGAGCTGTACGAACCTCTCTGGGACGAGATTCATGCGAGGTCTCGGCATCATGGTTTCCGTATTCGGGGCATATGGATTGCCGACATTTGGAACCAGGGCCAATCTGGCCTGCTTAATGAGAAAATCCTGGGCAACGACCGCAAGGCAATCCGCCTCGTTCTTTGAAGACGGCACTGACATGACACAGCCAGTTGGTTCGACCATTCGAGAGACTTGATGAACTTGATTAATCAGAAACAAGGCCTGATGCCACATCCTCTGGTGGGCATAGGTCACAGCATAGGTGGAACTCAGCTGTGTGGCGAACTACCTCCAGAGTGCGAGACGTTGACTGACTAGACGACCAGAACCCAGCTTTCTCTATTACACCCCCGCCTCCTTCGATCACTTGTCCTTCTTGACCCGGTCATACAAATACCCAACGGAAGCATCGCTCCTGCCATTCTCTCTACGCGTCGACGAGATATCTGGCCATCGAGGATAGCCGCGGCGGAAATTTTCAAAAAGAGCAAGTTCTATCAGAGCTGGGATCCGCGCGTTCTAGACCTTTGGATACAGAATGGCCTCCGAGAGGTACCAACAGAACTCTTCCCTGCCGAACAGAGAGCAGGTGGCGCAAAGGATGAGCGTGTCACTCTCATGACCTCGAAGCATCAGGAGCTTTTTACGTTTCTAAGGCCGACATATCGGGGAGATCCCACCGAAACATATGCCGATCTCGACCCTGCTCTGCAACAGGAATATCCCGGCTATCCGTTCTACCGTGCTGAGCCGGTCCAGGTATTCAGACGGCTTCGTGAACTTCGGCCAAGCGTATTGTACATCTTCGGAGGAAAATCAGAGCTGTCGCCTGCTAAAGAGCGTGAAGCAAAAATGGCCATTACAGGTGTAGGCGCCGGAGGAAGTGGTGGTGTCACTGCTGGACGGGTCAAGCAGGTTGTTCTGGATTGCGGCCATCTTGTGGCAACGGAAAGAGTGAAAGACTGCGCAGATCACACGGCCGAATTCCTTGCGCACGAATTACAGCGATGGAGGAGCGATATGGAGGCATTTCAACGGTACTGGAAACAGAAGCCTAGGGTAGAGCAAATCTCCACAGATGAAAGATGGGCGAGGGACGTCAAACCGCAGGGTTAGACTGACCGGATTATGGAGGATGTTGGGCGTGATTCTAAGTTGTGAATTTGCTACACTTAGTCCCTGGATATGTAGTGAGGCAGCAAGAGCTGCAGGACATTTTCGTGGATACACCTCAATTCAGACATGTAAAGAGCGCTCTAGATAGGGAAGACTTATTCATAAATGGCCGACATTATGCTGCATCTCTCGCCGCCGTATGATCAGGACACCCAGCCCGAGATCTGCCGGCGACAGAAGAACCAAGCAAACCACGTGATGTTTCAACTACCGTAACTCCCACCAACTGTCCAGATATGCAAAGTAGCGACATGTCGCATTAGTTCATTCCAGCACAGCCTGAGAAGCTGAACAACGTCTCGCAGCTCGCAAGTTTCGACGCGGACCAGTTCCGTGAGTTGTGTCACGCCCTCGTGCGGCTTCGCCGTTGCCAACTATGTGACTGATTCGAGAATCGTCGCAGTCGACCTTGCATCTGGTCCACTTTCCTTTGAGTGTGTACTTGATGCAGGATAACCCTCCCTTCAAGACCATTCTCAGCCGCTCCAGCACCACCACTCGTCCGGTCGAGCCCTGACCCTGTTGCAAGCATGCCATGATGGCAGTTTCATTGACGACGACCTCCCAAACTCCTATCCATCTTCCAATGCGCCTGCCTTATCCGGCTAGGCTCCTTTTTGGTTTCCCGCAGGACTCCAGGCCGGATTGACAGTATCACGCTTCAACGGGCCTGGGGATAATGACGGCCGAGGCGAATACAATTCCTTTAACCTGCAGTACTATTCGGAAGCCGTTAATGTCGGCCATGCGGAGGAAAGCTATGGTACTTTTCAACGTACTTCCTCGGCATCTGGCAATCCGAGTGAGGATGGCCAATCCGCGGGAGATATGGCACGGCAGACTATTTCAATGCCAAATCAGCGTGTTCAATCTTCTATTCCCAGACGACGAAGCAGATATGTGTTGCAGAGACCAGAGAACAGCATTATGCCAATTCTCATTCCAGAGTCACAACCTACTGCCCAAAGTTGGTCCGTATCTCCCCTTGATCCTATGCAAAGATGGCGAGATCCCCCTCCTGAGGACGAGCCAGCATCCATGTCCGCCATATATGGTGCGCTGAAGGACAGCTCTCTGGATCTCTCAGGTTGAAATGCAGCTGCGCAAGAAAGTAGCATATCCGATAGGGGATCCGGAAATCGTAGCTCATAGCGAAGTCTTTACCCGTTTTGTTCTTCTTGATTGTCTACGGCTGCACGGCTTGGGATTTCGTCTGCGTATTCGGGGCTGGGACTCTACAAGATGCGAGCTTAGGAACTGAGATGTGCAAGTTAGAGGAAACTGGTTGGAGCTGGAAAACGGGGGTTAGGAGTGCTGTTGGCAGCACCGGTGATGAGATAGAGAGGATTGTATGTATTGCGCCGGCCGAGGTCTGCATAATGTTATTGAGATTATCGTGTTGAACGTTCATATGATTCAGCCGGAAAATCCATCTAAAGCACAGTCGAGATACGAATCTGGGATGCTCTTCAGGAGCATAAAACCACAGACAGCCTCTATGCCCAGCAAGACGAAGCACCGTGATAAGCGGTGGACGACTTGCAAGCTCAACGCAGACAAGATTCTAGATTTGAGTAGAAGCTTGGAGTCAGAATGATGGAACGAAAACAAAACCAAAACCATATGCAACCAAACTTTTACGGAAACAAAGTTTATCTGGTACGTTTCCGGTTATGCGCTTTCCGCTTAGACATGCAGTCACATAAGAAAGCCAATTCCCATCAGAGTTTTGCTGCCGCGAAAGCTCATTTAGATTAAACTTACCCAGCCACGATCAGTGCATTTGTACTCAAGTTGCTCAAGCCTCGGCGTATACTAGCGTTGTCTGCGCTACTCCGGACGCCACGAAACCAGGAAGGCAAAATGGACCACTTCTTCCTGAAGAAGTTTTTTCTCGCGGTGTGCTACTTCGGCTTCGTAAACCTAATATTTGGAAGCCCAGACGAACGCGCTGAGATTAGCCGCCTATGGTCCAGGAGATCGTCCAGTTCAACAGTTGTGTTGGTACCCAGACGCCTTGAGAAGCACAAATGCCCGCACAGCGACACGCCGCTCGTCAAAGCCACCGTCCAAGAGACGAAAGCAGCGGAGGTCGTCCATGCCCTCTGAGAGGATATCGCCTATGTCCGGTACAAGCGGCGCCAGCTCCACCGCGTCAATGCCGCTAAGGATGGCCTGTACGAGCTACTATCGGACCTCGCGCCCGCGATCGCCGCCTCAGGGGGTCTGCGGATCGATGGCGGGACCTGGAAGGATTGGGAGAAGTTTGACAGAGTGTCATTCCAGTGCACAAAGCTCATCTCGGGCGCTGGTCTTGTGACTGCTGGATCTCTCTCTCGTTACGCTGAGAAGGGCAAGACCTCTCGTTTGAGTGCAGCGCAGGTCAATTTCCTTGTTGATTGGCTGAAGGACCGTATGGAGGCCTTGGAGGAGTTGGCACGTACGACGGCTCATAATGTGAAGAAGTGTGAGCGCCAAATGAAAGCAGTGTTCGGTGCCCAGACACCACGGACGCGCTCATTGGTGAAATGAAACCCGAAAGAAGGAGTCTTCCTCAAGTCTTGAATTTATTGTACTTGGTGACCTTGTTTACGGGATTCCTTAGCTATGGTTTTGTGTGGAGCCTTCAGTCGTTTTTTTCTCGATCACCGCCACTTGAGAACAGGGTTTCACTAGAGGCGGTGGAGCTTGACGCTGTGCTGACGACGTGGAAAGAGAAGTCGAGTTCGCCGACGAGGCTCTTGACCTGCCTGTATCTAGTTAGCCAAACAGACCTGTACATTGTAAGCTATCAAATTGTTCTATACTTCAGAATGTTATCAAGATCTCCGATGATGCAGCGAGTGGAGATTTGCAGGACCGCAAAAGCGGCGTAACCGGGCTCCGCATAGTGCCGAACGCTCAAGATGTCCTTGTCCATAGCTTCGAGGCGCGCCGAGAGTTGAAAAGGCTTTGGGGCTTTCAGGTAAGGAGGCAGGGGCTGCCCACTGCCTATGCTGTGTGAAAGCAAAGATAGAAGCGAGGTGATCTCATGCGATGTAAAGTTGGCGGAGCTGATGAGCTTTCTGAAGTCAGAGAGCCACACCGATTCAGACTCATCCTCCGGATTAGCGAACGTAGCAGAGGCGAAGGCAATGAGGGACATGTAGTTATGAACACTGCATCACGTTAGTGCACAGAACTCTCTTTGGCTCAAAGATATTTGGAGAGTTTCTGTATGGCGTCGTTCGGCTGTTGGGGTTGTTCTTGCACTTACTTCTGTATGCACTGAATGAGCGCGTCGTAGGTCTCTTTAGGAAACCTCCCTCCAATCTGAAGCTGCCATTTGGACATCGCAGATGCCTGTCGGAGCCCACTGAGAAGCATCGTCTGCTTGGTGAACACTTTGATTCGAGCTTTTTCTAGCCTTCGACCGGGACTAGTCTTGAGCAGCATATCGCCCTCATCGCCACGTATCCGACCCTGAACCGTCTCGTGAACAATAGAGTAATAATTTGCCAGCAGATACAACGAAGCGCCAAGGTTGCGCCGCAGCTCGGAGTTCTCGGAGACGGGGTACGGAAAGATCGTCCAGAAGAAAGCGACGGCCAAACCTCCGGCGACAGCAGCCAGTCTGTACGGTCCGAACAGATAGACTGGCAGATAGCCCTGGCCATTGGACGTTGCAGCAGCCGTGCCGATCTTGCGAACTTCCAGTTCGTAACCAATTATCAGCGTAGTCGTAACAACGCCAATCAGCGCGGCAATGATAAATCTCGGGTATTTAACCACGAAGTAAAAGCCCACCCCTGCGAACAACCAGAGTAAAACAAGGATACCAGCGATATTGCGATTGGGAATGTAGTAAATAAGAAAGGCGAAGAGCATAGCCACAACCGTCCCCAGCAGTCTGAGAGCAAAACTGAATATGCTGAAGCCAGCCGTGACGTTCATGCTAATAGCGACCATGAACAGGGACCACAAAAGGCGCTGCTGAATGAAGAACCTCTGAGTATCCGCAAGAAACGCAATAATACCGATCGACATGGTAGCGCAAGCAGCGCGGAATCCAAACACAGACTCATTGGAACGTAAAAACCTGGGCATCGTTCTCACACCGTTGCCAAACTTTTCGAACACATTCGTGGCAGGGAGATGTTCCGGATCCTTCCTGATTCGATATGCTTCACCAAGGTACAGCGTGTTGCCGGCTCCGTCAACGTCTGCCATGACGCGATCATCACCGTCGGAGGTGTCCTCTACCTTGTACGTGCTTTTCATCCACTTTTTCATTCGGATGAGGCCGGGCACAATGAGTCGTGTTTTCGACATCGTTCCATCAGCGACCTTCGCGTCGGCAAAACGCACCAATGCCAGAACGCTTTGGCTAATTGAGTAGAAAAGGAACTCCATCTGTAAGCCAGTATTGTCAGCGCTTGTGATCATGTATAGCGAACGTACAACGAGCACATGGGCCAATACAATCTCAGCCCCGAACATCAATCCTTCGGACAGGAATGAACGGAAGAAGAAACTCACATATAGAAGCAGGTACAGCTGCCGCTGATTGCGCGCATGTGTGCCCTCAGTCATTACTCTCTCCATTGAAGCAGTGCTGTACAGAGCGTCCGCAGGATGGTCGAAAAAGTCCGGTGCAAGCCTGATGCCCTTTCGTTCACACCACGTCTGCAGGACCATCTCCTTACCATGGTAGAACTCCTGGCTCTTGCGGTCCAGAAACTCTGCAAAACCCTTCCCTCCTGGTTGTGCATCCTCTCCCCTCGCCTCAATATCGTCAGCACCGGCGCCAAAACCGTCGTTGTCACTACTGCCGTTCTTCTTCTTAGGCAGCTTCTGTAACTTCAAGCAGAGCATCGCATGTAAGATGCCCTCGTCCAGTACCTGCGTAATTGAGGAGAATGGCTCGTGGACTGCCTTCATTATGTCGTTCCATTCCTGGATGGCGCGCTTCTGCTTTTCCTGTGGATCAGCATCACCCACCGCAGTTTCAGCCTTTCGATTCCAGTAATCCAACTCTCCGAGTCGCTCGAAGATGTCGATCACCGAGCTGAGCCCGACAGTCGGAAGCATAACTCTTCGTATCAGGCGGCTCAGCTCCTGTATTTCGTCCGGGCCGAGGTTCCCGAATGCAACTTCTCGTTTGGCAAACGGGAGGTCGCCGTTGAGCTTGCCGGATAGCTCACCGATGCCAGCTACAGCCTTCTTCACTGCTGCCGCCTGCGGAGTCTCCGTCCTCTTGCCCTTCTTCCCTGTCGACGCCGCCTCAGTGAATGCTTCTAAACCTTCCAGGCTTTGCAGATAGGCGACTTCTACCTTCCACACCTTACGCAAGGTCTGGAGATATCCAGTCATCTCTCTGAATACAACCTGCCGTGAGTTCATCGGGACAATCAGGAAGGACACCACGGCTGCGATCGCCAGTCCCGCAAGGAATGCCTCGAAAAGGTTTCGAGCAAAATTGATGCCTGCGGCCATGTTCGGGAATGTCGGTGCGTAAGTTGTCGCGGTGAACACAAAGATGCAGTATATGATGGCGGGAAACTGCAATTGCGGAAGCTTGGCACGGAGTGTGGTGACCATGTAAATCTGAGCGAACAGCCAGATAGCAGAGACAGCCGAGGCAGAAGAGTTGTACGCCGCTGTTGAAGTGCCTGGAGTCGGCACACCCATGCTGCTGGGCCCGCTACTAGCTTCTGTGTGCTGCCGGGCCGTGACCGCACAGTATACTACGAGGAGTTGAACGGCCGTAGACAAACAGATTGACAGGATATTTAGCAGGAGGGTCTGCACGAACTTGGCGCGCGGCATGATGCAGAAGCCGAGTACTGACACGATGGCAACGAGGTAGCCCAGGGTTCCGAAGTGGTTCGCGACTGCGTCCGCTTGACAACTGACATGAAGTCAGTACAATCCATTGATGCCACACAGGGGCCTTACAGTGCAAGGGCAACCACTGGGGGAATTCCGCCCCTAACGTACGTGCGTTAGCCAATGCTTTGTGCATATTCCATCTCGATAGACCTGCTTCGCCATGATCAGGCATGTGCCCTTGTCCAACCCAATCTTTGTCCATGTCTGCTTCAACTTTGAAGGCTGCTTTGCTTTCTCGGAGGAGGGCTTGCTGGCTCCATCTGTTGTGGATTCTTTTGGGGAAGCTTCGTGAGACTCCGCCGAGCTGGTCCGGTCTGGATTTGGGGCCATTGATATCTCTTCAGCGGACCCGTTGAGGCTCATGACAGGTCATCTGGATAATCACGCCGATCACTCGAGAGGAGATGTTGATGGAGAGTCTTGAACGATTGGAATTATGTATATGGAGACCGGCTCGTAAGCCGAGTAGATCGTAGTGCATTAGTTAAAGATTTGGATCCTTGGCGCATCCACAATATCGATGCCGCGATTGAGGGCTGACGTCAGATATAGTGCGATTATGAAGGGTCGGTTTGGTGCGAAGGATACCTCTGCATTCAGCTGCTTGAGGGGACCGTATATGGGTGACTAGAAATCCCAAGAAGACCACCGAGTACTCGAGGAGAGCAAAGGCACACGTCCACAATAGCATGAACCCTGCAAGGCAGCTTTGTGGGGTCCCGCAGATCACAAGGGCATCTCGATCACGTGTTACTGAGCACCTTCTGTTATGCTTATGCAAAAAAGTTCAGGACTTCGCAATTCCTCTGATCTCGAACCAGATCCAGCATGATGAAAACCAAAAAAATATATTCTCTCCGACGGGGAATCGAACCTAATTGAGAATCAGTAATTTGGATAACTCAATCGGATCATTTTAATACACACCCCGCTCTCCCGCGCAACTTGTAATCAGCGTTTGATGACAAGCGGAAATCATCACCACTAGACCATCGAAGACATGACCGGCGAGGCCGGTGATGGTGACGTCATGTTTGAACAATACAATAAATATCAACATGTTCGAATGCACTGGCCTGAGCTGTAAATCACACATGCCCCTGAAACGCGTGAAAATGAACAGAATGAACAGCGAACTCAAGTAAGGTAATCACTGAGGTTTGCGGAACCCTAGTCCGATCGATGGTTTACCGTGATGAGCTGCATTATTGGACGCATGAACAGGCGCTCTCAATCCACTCTATGATCCATACATGTATCACAAACCGACACTTTTCCAGAAAGAGAACACGACCTCCGCAACCTCTGCGCAGCAAGATTTGGTAGTCCGTTTCCCCCTGCTCACCTGGTCCCCAAAGCGTTATTCCCAAGAACAAGAGGTTTGGTAACAGGCCCGCTTCATCTCCATCCCTGCTGCAACCACCCCTTACCCCAAAGCCCTTCCCTTTCCCCATTGCTACCCCTTCCCATCCGGGCGAGCAGATCCGCCACCACACCATGCCATTTGTACCGCATGCCCATCGCTTCCCAGGAAATTCCGATTCCACCCGCTTTCCCTCGGCATATGCCTGCTCTCTTTAGCCCTTATTCCCCGCGTCTCCCAGACAACCGTTGGGTTCAATCCACGTAATGGAGACCGGAGAGGCTAGAGTGGTGTAGAGAGCAGGACACCCTTTGAATCGTAGCCCACACCCGCTTTCCAAATTCTACATCCCTTCAGTGACTCGAGGACCACATAACTGGGGTGTCAGCGCGGTTGTGCCCTCTATGTAGGCGCCCGTTCATAGGCATGGTCCCAAGAGAGGGTATTTTTACGGCTGCGTGGTGTTATGGGGAGGTGAGGGCATGCCGACGAGAACTCGCTCCTGGGCTCGCAGCATCTCCATGCGGCTAGAGTTTGAACAGGGAAGACGGACCGGTGGGTGCGGACGGGAACCGGGAGGATCGTATCACGAGATATGTTACTCTTTTAGAAGGTAAGATGCGAGAGAGAATCCGTTTGAGAGATGTGTAAGAGTGAGCCAGGAGCGAAACAAGACTAGAGCAAGGGAAGCCCTGAAACACTCATCTACGGTTTTTTTATGGGCTGGTACGACCAAGAGCTATAGGAATTGGCCATGCACTTGACGTGGCAACACGAGAAGAGACAGTATTGTTGAAGAACCCAAGTGTTTTAGTCTACAAACAACAGCTAAAGAAACTCATGATCGAGTGGGAGAACCAGTAAGTAAGCCAGGAGGGAGTCAGGCAGTCATGATCTCAGCGGAGCCACAACCACCACCATCCCCCCTCCATCGCACGGTCCATCCCCTCGATTTTCCTTCAGAACGCACACGACAGACAACCCCAACCTCCTCCACCACATTACCGATTAGAGAGAAAGAACAAAGAAAAACAGCGCGGAACGACAACATCATGTACTGAGAGGTTGCGCCTAGTGGTATCATAAAGAGGAAGTAAAGGCTTTCCAACCAAACAATCCCAGACCAGCTGCAATGCAAGGAGAAGGACTCCAACGGCGCGGTGTTGCTGACTCTGCTGCATCACCTCTAAACAGTGCCGGTCAGCACGGGGTTGTGCGTGCCGAGCGTGGTGTGCTGTGTTGGGGTGATGAGCTGGGGCTCAACGGCGCCGTTCATGCCGCCCTTGCCGAGGGAGTAATCGTTCGTGCCATCGAAGGCGCTGCTGACCTGGTTCGAGAACTGCGCAGTGCCATTGGTGCTACCATAGCCGGTGTTGGCGGTGTCGTAACCGCTGCTGCCGTAGCCAGTGCTGCCGGTATTGTCGTAGCCTTGACCACCGTAGCCCTGACTACCAGCCTTGCCGTAGTTGGTCTCATCGTCGGCATAGTCGCGAGCACCACTGCTGCCGCGGACACCACCCTCGGTGACATTGTGTGGTTTGCGTTGCACCTGGGAAACCTTCGGTAGGTTGGAGGTTGGGCCGGCCGAGCCGATGCTGAAGACAGGTGACTCCCATCTGTCACCCTTGCGGGCAAGATCCTTGTACTCGGTAGCCTTGGTAGAGATACCACCGGGCAGTTGGATATCCTTGAAGATGGAGTCGTGCTGTGTGACAGCCATGTTGACCTTCTTGTCGGCAGCGACCTCGTCCTTCTTCTGCTTGCCCTTCATGAACTCCTTCTGGGCAGCAGTGAGGTATCGCTGGTAAATGTTCTGGATGTTCTGCGGATCCGGGTTGCGCTTAGCCTCAGCCTCAGCCCGTTTGGCTTCTGAGTGGACCTTATACATGATGCCGTCAAGCTGGTTGATATTGTCCTTGATCTGCTTCTCAAGCACCTTCTGGATGGCAGGGCGAACAACCTTGAACAGGAGCGGCTTGAAGATGTTGAAGAGCAGCTTGTGGTTAGACTGCTTCATCTTGACGTTCAAGTTCTTGACGTCAACAGCAACCCGGTTGACCTTGAAGAAGTGAGTGCGATCGGTCGCATCAGCGTTCTCCATCTCGACCTTGAAGCTGAATCCTTGGCCACCCATAAAGATGTCACAGACACCCTTGTCAGTAACCGAAGGGAAGCCCTGCTTCTTACGGACATAGTAGCTGACATCTGCAAATGCTTAGCATGATTGTTTACGACACAAGCAGGAGAGTGGCATACCCTTCAAATCCATCTGAACACCGGAGACCGAGAGCATAACCTTGTTCTTGCTCTTGCTGGCAACCTTCTTGCGGCCCCAGCGCCAGTAGTTATCACTGCCAAACTCAACCACATTGGGCGCCAGGTTGTCACCCTCGATGACAAGATTCTCGACAACGGCATCAATCATGGGGTCAGAGTACTCGATACGCGGGATCGGAACGTAACGGATGTTCTCGAAGATGGCAGGCACAACCACATCCCTGAGGTCCTTGAGAAGGTGCGGCTTGAAGGTGGGCTTGCCGTTCTCGTCGTTGCCCAGATCCATGAACAGCTTGTTCATGGACTCGGCAAAGGCCTTGTTCTGGGAATCCTCATCGAACTGCTTCGCGAAGAACTTGATTTCATCGACAATGCGGTCGGTGTGGTTGCGATAGCGGTCACGGAGAAGGAAATGTCCCTGGTCGTAAATTTCGTTCCATTCCTCGGTAGCGGAATCTTGCATAATGTAGCCCTGTTCCTTTAGGCACTTGCGGACGTAGCGGTTGAGGTGCTTAAACCAGCCTTTGAGCTCAGGATCACGGTCAGCGTCGCGGTAGACCGCGTTGATCGAGTCGAACAAGTCATCCATGGAGGTGTAGTTGGCGAAGCGCTCAATCAGCGTCTTTAGATCAGTCAGTATTTGTCGATTATGGTTTTGAAACTCTAGAAAAATACCTTCAGGTCAGCCTCTGCGGTCTTCAAGCTATCATCAGCGTGAGCACCTTTCACCGCCCCAGTACCCTGCTGAGCCATGCTCTTCGTGTGGCCAGTGTACTCCTCGGCGAGGCGAAGTAGAGTATCAACGGCGCGGAGGTCTAGCTAAAGTCAGTAAAGGACTAGAATCCAGCGACGCTTGTTCACTCACAATCCTCATGGCCTTGAATCTCGACGACCATCTTTTTCAGGCGATACACAGCCTGCTTGCGACGCTCCTCAGGCAACTTCTCTTTGAGGTAGTTGCGCGTCTTCTCGTTGTAGTGGCGGGTCTTCTCCTTGGTCTCTTGCGGAACGTTCTGATCCATCTTGCTCTTGAGGTTGTCGACACCAGATTTGATGCCCTTCTGAGCGTCCATGCCGGAGTTTGTTCCTTGGCGTTGATCGTGGGCGGCAACATTAGCAGCATCGGCAGGGTCGCGGGAACCGGATGGGTGAGCAGCCTGCGTTGCATCGCCAAGGGCCTCTTGCATGTCACCTCGGCTGAACGGCTTCTGCTGGTTGAACTTGCTCTTGGCCTGCTGCCTCAGCTTGTCCCTCGACATGTCGGGAACGTCGTGCCACTCGTTGTCGTCTGCAGGACGGTCGATTTGATTGAGCTCGTCCTCAGACGGTTGTACACGCTGGGCCGCGTTCTGTGCCGCGTCGCCAGCCATGTCGCGGATGAGGATGGAAGCATCGTTCACTGTTCATCAATTAGCTCGAAGTCTGACCAGTCAGGACAGCACACTCACAAAGCTTCCTGAATTGGCCGTTGGAGAGGATAAGCGTTCCCAGTGTTCGCAGGCCGTCCAAGGCCTCGTTGCCATGCTGCTGCGCGGTACCCCTGTCGATTGGTGCCCCGGGCTTCTGCGCGTTGCCACCGCTCATGTGCTGCGTCTGCCAGATGAAGTCTTGTAATAGATTGCCATCGTTCTTTGTGAGCAGGAGGATCTTGGCCTGTTCGATGGCATCGCGTAGGTCGCCGACGAGCTTCTGACCTTCGGGTGAGAGCTTCTTCGATGGCGAGGAAAGTCCGCGGGACGCGAGGGCGCTGTTGATCGCGACATCGATTTGTTTGTTCTTTCAACATGTTAGCGATAATAAGACGCGCTTGGGAAGTCCTGAGTAGACTCACTGATGGGATCTTGCCGTTCGAGAACGCTGCGCAAACGACGTGTCAGCTTGTACAGGTCGCGTAGCAACGGCAACCAACGCAGGCATCACGACTCAATGCCGGACGAGCGTTGGAGAATGCCACTCACCAGTGAAGATGCCATAGAGCTGCAGCTTGTTGTTGATGTCGCGCTCTTTCACCTTTGTGTCGGTCGGCCTGTTGACAGCGGTGGACGTCATGATGATGGGTTGATAAGCGGTATTAGAAAAGCGTGTATTGAAGCGGTACTGATTAGTTTGATGCCAGTGGAAGCTAGATTGGGTATCTCAAGATGCAGAAACGGAATACGGATATCGCTGATGGATGGAGTTGTGATGGTGGTAGGGGAAGTGAAGGCGAGGGGAGGAGGTTTTATTGGGGAAGGCAGGGCTGGGCTGGCGCAAGCGAAGGGAGCTTGGGTCGTTGCTGGTGAGAGGAGAGGAGAGAGCCGAGAGCCAACCTTGGAAGGGCCCACGTCATAACAGCCATTTCACGTTCACGTTAGGTTGCCAAGGGGCTGGCTTCTCCGGCGCTTGGTTTGATTGCTCGATGGCAACAACTGCCGGCCATGTGCTCCATCGCAACACCGCGCTTTCTTTCTCTCCACCTGCAGCGCCAGCAGCATCTCATCTCCAGGAGCCTGCGCATCGAGCTTGCCTCTCCATTTGCCTGTCGCTGAGACTCTCCTCTCCCCTCCTTGAGTTCTGCTTGGGCGTGGCGCGAGCGCAAAGCAGGGGCGGGTCGCCGTCGCGAAACACATCCGGCATAGTCCGCGAAATTACAGTATCCCCAGATGCACGTCATAGCGTCTTGGCCACCAAAATGCGATGGCTGGCAGCGGTTCCAGCCACAGTTCGCATCGCGTCGCCGCACATGAATGGCACGCCTAGAGATGGCGTTAATCTATTGAGGACTGGGGTCCTCGTCTCAGCAGCCTGTCAAGCCGGCAGCTGCTCCAAATGGCGACGGCTAACATCTGCTGGGCCGCGGCTGCATCCTCAACGCGGGAAGGCCGCGTTCAAGCCACTTCTACCGGTTCGCGCCAGAAATCAACACTCTCGTTCGAGTAAAGCGCAAATTTCACGAGGAGTGGCGTAGGCACCGTAGGTTGCGTCATGGAATCATGGGTTGGCAAAGGTCGGATGACGGGGCATCGTGGCCTTCATCCGTGGATGCCTCATGAGGGGAAGCCGAGAGAGTTTCTGGCATGTCGAGTGTCAGCTGATGCGCCGGGTGTCCAACGCTCAGGATCGGCTGGCGTCGATGGGATCTGCTCTGACACGCGGCCAAGAATCGCTCGAGACGGCCGAACCGCGCGTCATGGCCGGGGGAAAGCGCGCCTTTGGTGGAGGTAAGAATCGCGGCGCCCAGAAGAATTGTCGTTCTGTGGAGAGGCGCCTCCGAGGACGTTGCAATGAGTGATGAGCCTGAAATTTAAGGCATGTTCTTTCGCACTCGTCTCCTGGTAATTACCAAATCATCCATCATCGTGATCTCTGACTGTCTCAGCTTCGTTCTTCGGCGGGAAACCATGATTTTCAAATGTTTCAACAATGGTCAATAAAAAGCCAAAAAACATACAGCAGTAGGTATTCGCTAGTGGTCACCCACCTAACTACTAACCTACCGATTCAAGGCTTAAGTGCTGGAGAGCGGACGGGATCCACTATTCTCTTTGATCTATGGCCGTATGTGACGGTTGAGACGAGACTAAATCTCTGATATCTGCAGTTGTTTTCCCGTCCTATGTTCAAGCGCGGCGTTCTACCTACAGCTCCAGTTTTAATCAAGATTGCAGCTTTTAGGGTCTAAGAAGCAGGAACTAAACATCCGAGGACCTTTCATGGTCAAGTATTACACGGGTACTCGCCCTCATCATGCTCTGTTGAAGTCGTGGCGATGGCCTTTCCTTCAGCGCAAGAACGGAGGAGCAGTGGATCTCAAGATCCTTTCTCGCACCATTATCAAACGATCCAAGCACTACCCGAATTGCCTGTTGTAGAGAACCGTTCTGACAGGGCATGCGTGATTGATGTGTGCGCGCCCTCAGCCTCACTATCGTCCAGCAGCACGAGTTAGTACCCAGAGCATTGAGAGGAGCTGAAGCAGAGGAGGTAAGGCATGTCGTGTTTCTCTTTAACAAAGCGACGTGTTCTTGAAACGTAGTCTTCTTTGAAGCAAAGTATCTTCTATGTGGTCCTTCTTCTATCATTACCATTAATCACTGCCGCCAACCCCTCGTACTACGGAAAAAGAGCAGCAGCAGCAGCAGCAGCCGCCTCCACGCGCATCGAAATCAACCTTACCCAGAACAACACCCCTACCTTCCACTACTTCCCCATAGTTAAAAACAACCTGTCCCCCACATCCCCCAACCCCGGCCTCAACATCCCCTTATCTGTCAACTCCTCGTCCACACCCCCAACCCAGATCTCAACCCCTTCTTGCCACTCCCCCGCCGCCTTCTTGAGCCCGCCATCGCTGCCAATGACGCACAACATCACGATGCGGCCGACGCCCCAGTCCTTCAGCGTGTCGATGGCCGCGCAGGCGGTTGCGCCGGTCGCGATTACCGGATCGACTATTATGGCGAGGGAGGGCGGGGTCGAGGTTGAGGGTTCGGAGGGATCGGGGGTTGTGGTTGGGGGTGGGCGGTGGTAGGGGAGGTTGTTATAGTATTCGCTGAGGCGGGGAGGGGCAGGGTTAGCGGGAGCTTATTTGACGGTGGAGGAGTTGGAGGAAGGGGAATGTGGAGGAGAAGAAGAAGGGCAGGGGAAGAGCAGGAGAGAAGAGGAACGTACACAGGCTGTAGGGTGGTCTTCTCGCGGTAGAGGCCCAAATGGTGGACGGGGATTGGGTCGGGCAGGACGGAGAGCACGGCGTCGGTCATGCTGAGGCCGGAGCGCAGGATCGGCACGAGGCTGATGTGGGAGGGCGATATGGTGGTTGTGTCATATTCGAATCCTAGCGGGGATTTGTCCTGTGTAGAGAGAGGTTAGCTGGACTACACTCGATATGGTGCTGGTACATGAGGCTGAACCGAGCTGGCTGGGAGGCAATAGAGGGTCTGCGCTTACTTTGCCGGCCTGCTGAGGCTGCAGGGCCACAGCCAGAGCTTCGCAGCTCAGAATGGTTGCGATCTCATGGATCAGCGACTTTGTCTCCCGCGCGTTGGTGGCCTGCGAGCGCAGCTGGGAGAGCTTAGCTTGGAGGCATGGATGAGATGAGACGTGCACATTAGAGGGCAAGGAGGATGAGGCCATTGTCCCTGGCGATCTAGGTGAGTTGGAGGCGTGAGCAGTGGGTCGCGCAAGCTCTGATGAATACGTCTGTCACATGTCTGTTTGCGCCGGTCTTTGTCTGTTGATAGCTGCAGCGCCCACACCCACCAGATGCCAGACCCGCTGCAGGCACAAGGCACGTTTGCTTGGCCGGGATGGCCCGTCGGGATCTTCAAACCTTCCCGGACTCTGAGCCCGTCAGCCCCGTATCACCCGTCTGGTCGACCCCTTTAAGCTTCGGCCATGACGAAATCAGGCGGAATGGGACTCTGGAGCTTCCACGCGCTGGAGGCTGCTGCCAGCATGCCAGTCTGCCGTCCTCACATGAAGATCGGACAGCAGATGCGCTCGTTCAGGCGCTCGGGTACCTGCAGCAATCCCTTGCCCACCCGCCGACTGCCGGGATACCGTGATGGATAGCCGCTACGACCGGTCGGTAAAGAGACAGCAGGCGCATCGTACCGAGCAAGCAAGCCCGGCAAGGTCTTTCGAGGTGGACTTAGAGGGGCGTCTGCCTCAGCTGGTGCTGGATCCGAGTACAGGTGAGTACTCGAGGCCGGATAGCCACGAGGGCCCGAGCGAGCTCACTGCGCCGCCGCTCAAGAGTTCTTCTCAAGCACCCTTACACCACCATAAGAGCCCAGAGGCCGAGCGGCGTGCAAAAGGAAAGAGCGACAAGAGCGAGCGAAGCAAGACAACTCCGAAGTCGCCCAGGCAGAAGACGAGGGATACCGCAGAGGACAACGAAGCATGGCTGGCGCGACGACATCATGGCAGACCTCTGCTGGGAGACCACGAGATGCGGCAGATGCTGGGTCGTGATGGCAGCCGTCCTGACGAGCAAGACGTCGTAAGCGTGGCTAGAGACAGATCCCAATATGGTCCTCAAAGGAGTCGGCAAGACGGGACAGGCCGTCCGCCGACCAGCAAGAGCGCGCGAGGCGCCACCAGAGGTCCAGCAGGCGGTACAGAAGTGCAGGCACTTTCAGATATGGCTACACCGCTGCCTATTCCTAAATCAGACGCTCACAAAATTCGAGAAGAAGAGCACTTGGAACCGCTGTCATCACAAGCGGCGCCAGGGGCAATCAATCTGCCGTCTCCGCCGTACCGAGTCTCACGATTCGAAACGCAGCTCAACACTGCATCCTACCTCATACTCTTCTCGATTTTGGGTACCCTGGCCAGGCTCGGTATCCAGTGGCTAACCTTCTACCCCGGCGCCCCGGCCGTAACGCCTGTACTCTGGGCCAATTTCGCCGGCAGCCTCTTCCTCGGCTTCCTATCCGAGGACCAGCGCCTCTTCCGCTCCCGACGGCGCAGGTCGTCAAAGCGGACCCATCGCTCGACGGCCAACCCCACCGCTACTGCCCGCGAAGATGAAGCCGCCTCGCGCTCAGCCCACTTAAAAGCCAAGAAAACCATCCCCCTCTACATCGGCCTCGCGACTGGCTTCTGCGGTTCCCTCACCTCCTTCAGCACCTTCATGCGTGACGCCTTTCTCGTGCTGTCCAACGATCTGCCCGTACCTCCCAGCACCTCCACCACCGCAGCCGGAACGCCCTTATCTCTCAGCACCGCATCCCGCCACGCCGGCCACTCCGTCCTCGCCGTCCTCGCGGTCATCATCCTCACGGTATCTCTCAGCCTCAGCGCCCTAGAACTCGGCGCCCACCTGGCCGCGGCACTAGACCCCTACACACCCTCCCTGTCCCCCCTCCTCACCAGCACCCTCCTCAACCGCGTCCTCGCCGTCCTCGCCTGGCTCGCCTGGCTCAGCGCCCTCCTCCTCTCCATCTTCCCGCCCTCGGACGCCTGGCGCGGACAAGCGCTCTTCGCTTCAGTGCTCGCGCCGGCGGGCTGTCTGCTGCGCTACCTCGCCTCCCTCAAGCTGAACAGCCTCGTCAAGGCCTTCCCCTTCAGCACCTTCGCCGTCAACATCTTCGGTACGGCTGTGCTGGGCATGGCGTGGGACCTGCAGCACGTGCGTCTCGCGAACGGGGTCGTGGGCGGCGGGAGGGTCGGGTGTCAAGTTCTGCAGGGGGTGCAGGATGGATTCTGTGGGGCGCTGACGACGGTGAGTACGTGGGTTGCGGAGCTGGAGGGGTTGGGCAAGAAAGGGAGGATGAGGAGGGCGTGGGCGTATGGGGTTGTGAGTGTGGCGGGTGGGTTGGGGCTGTTAGTTGTTATTATGGGGAGTGTGCGGTGGACGGTTGGATTTAGTGGTGTGGTGTGTGAGACTAGTCAGAGGACTTTTGGCGTGGGTTGATTGAGTGGCGGATTCATCGCTCGATATTTATGCTCGTGTTTTTGGGTCTGCTGGACGATTGACGTGGTTGTCGGTCTACCGATTGCGGGTCAAGATAGTCTAGGCGTACCGCAGCGAGGATTTTCACTTCCCGTCGCGCAGGATGGACAGATTCAGAGTTAGTCTGTTCGGCATGGCCTCGATCTGTCCGCAGGCCCGACTCCTTTGTGCTAGCGTACTGAGCTGCTCAGCTCTGTAGGGTGAGGCTAGACGACAGTCAGAGCAGTAGCAGCGTGGAGTCCGTCTGGAAGTTACTGCAATAGAGTCATATGCCAAAATCGTATCGCCATAGTCCTGTCCTCCCTCAAGGTCCGTTTCAGAAGCCCAGAAACCAGTAAAACATAGACCTGATACAAGCCCCTACCCTCTGCCCGCGCATATAACTCCTCGCTCAAGACGCACAGGGAATTTCCACATTAACCCAGCAACACCGAAACGAACACACCCTCAGCCCATAATCTGCCCCATACCCAGCACCATCATCACCCTACCCCGGCCTCCCAAGCCTCCACTCACTGAATCCAACCTCCCCCGGCATCTCCCTCCCATCCTTGAGCCTGAGTCTCGGAAACGCGTCATCCGCCCACACATACCGCAACCCCCTCCCGGGACTCGCGCCATGCATCTGGGGGTCCGTAAACGGCAGCGGCTGCTGCTCCGGTGGAGGATTTGTAGCTTCATCTGTACGAGTTGGTAAGCCTAGGAACCAGCGGGCGGAGTTGGTGAGCCAGGATAACGCACTGGCGATGGGGCCCTGGGGCTGTGAGGATGAAGATGAAGATTCTGCTTCTTCGTCCACGGCGGTGGTCGGATCCGGCACGATGCATGACTTGCGGACTCTGCCTGCGAGTCCCTCGTTGACGAGAACCAGCGCGCCGCTGTGCCAGCCCGCGGCGGCGACATTCAGCACAAAGTAAGCCCCTAGCCCGTCATCCTCCTCCCCCTCCCCGCCCTCAAGAATCCCAGGCCGCCTATCCCAGTCCCTCCCCTCCTGCTCAAACCACTCACTAACCTCCCCCTGCACAACCGGATCATTAACCGTCAACCTCAGCCTTTCCTTCGCCTCATCCGGATCACGCCCACCGGACGCCATGAAGCGAATCCACTGCCTCTTCTCCGGCTCAAACCACACCCTGCGGCCCGTCTCATACGCCTGGGGTAGGAGCTGCCCATCGCGCATACGGCCCACATATCTGATCCCGCGCAGGCGGCCCTCAGGGTCGCCGTCGCCGCCCAGCCCCAGCGCGCCGGAGGACTGCGGCTCTGTGCCGTACGAGGTGATGTGACCGTCGGCGTGAAGGGCGTGGAAGTGGTGGTCGCCGAAGGCGAGGGTGGTGACGCCCGTGTTTTGGAGCGCGGGGTGGCGCTTGATGCGTTCGGCAAGGGTCGGGGGAGAGAGGGCGCCAGGGGCTGGGTAAAGGTCATCAAGACAGTCGTGGTCGGCGAGGAGGACGGAGCCGTCGCGCTTAAAGACGGCGAAGGAGCGGAAGGCGCCTTGGATGTCGGTTGCGGAGGGGGTTGGGTCAGTGGGGGAGGTTACGTGGAGGTCGCGGAGCTCGACGGGGAGCCGGATGAGGCCGCTGCCATTGTGGAAGTGCATCTTGGCTGCGAAGACCTTCCCGATGTCTGTCACAAAGACTACGAAGCTCTCGAGGATAATGTAGTTGGTGACTTCCCCGACTGCTTCTCCGATCAATCTTGTTTGGTGATCGGGCTCTCGTGAGAGCCCTTTGGGCCGTTGATAGAAGGTGTTTGGCACGACGGCCGTCTCGATCACGAGCATGGTGTCAAGTTCCTGCGCTTGTTGGTCTCGGCCTCGTCGAACGGGGTCCCAGACTACTACTCCAGTCCCGTTGACGTAGGCTGAGCTCGTGTTCCATCCGGCAACAACCTTGCGGACGTTCGAGCGTGATGACCCAGACGTCGAGTTTTCGGTGAAGTCGACGTGTAGAGTCTTGACTTGAAGCGCAGGTTGAGTCTTGTCGTACCACGACCATATCCGGCCGCTGTCTGAAAGCCCAAGGATATGTGAGCGGCCTGAAGAGAACTGGCGTATAGCAGTCGCCGGCTCATCGCGCTCCCCTGCCTTCGGGTATCCTGGGGGAAATTCCAGGACGGTGGGAGGCAGCACAGGGTTCTGGCGAGTTGGGCTCATGCCGTCGATGGTTCCAAACGTGAACAGGGTGCCTTTCGAATTGAGTATAGTGGTCGACCATCCACCACATTGCAGATCAGCAATGACCCCCATGTCCCTACAGCTCGTAACTTCTACCGGCCACGTTGACACTGAGAACCCCAGCCTACGGCGTGCAGCTGGCCGACGACCGACAGGATTTGCACCTGCTGCGGTCCCACGATCGTCGTCGTCATGGCCTAAGCATAGGTGGCCGTTGCTGCCCCAGGTGAACACACGGCTCTGCGTGAGAATGCGCTTGTAAAGCCGCTGCCATCGCTCTCCGTCGCTCTCGACCGCCGGTCGATTCGGTACGCGGAAGTTCGTTCTCGTCGTGTGTCTCCAGTATGCAGCGTCCAGGCGGATATTCTGCTGGAAGCCTCTACATGTTGCGCACAGTGCGAGGAAGCTTCTTGCGTCTAGGTAGGGGAATACGAGGGCGAGGACGTCGAAGGGTAAGTCCGTCAGAGAGGTTTTGCGTTCTTTTGGCTCTGAGGGCTGGGTGGCCATGGCGCTGAATTGGTGCCTGGCGAAGCGTGAAGGTGATGCTACGGATTGATGTGGAGGGTGTGGTGGTGTTTGTGGGTGCAGTAGGCAGCTGCGGTTTACAGTGTCACATGCGAGCTCTTGCTCGGACGACGAGCAGGCGCGATGTTGGTGATCTTGGCGAAGTAGGTTAGGGACGGTCACAAACACAGGATCGTCTTCGAACGAGCATAAAGGTGCAATCTCAGCATATAAATTGTGGTGCTATGGTATTGCAGCAAGAGCATCTGGAGGTTTCAGGATATTCCAAGATCCTAATGTTGACCTCCGCCTGGAAAGCACGGACCTGCCAGAGTGACATCAAACAGCCCCACTGGAGCACTCTTACCTAGGCAGCTAAAACACCATTCTCTACTGTCATGTTAGCGGCTAGTACCTTTGTATTCCACGGCTGCACTGCCCTTGCGCATCAACAGTCCACAGTCAAGTGATTACTGTCGTGGTTTTAGTCTTTTAGAAAATCGAGCTGCCAAATCAGATATTATGTGCACAGAGCCCCTGTGTTTCTTGTGTCAAATCGAAGCCTTATATGAGCCTTCGGCTTCGGATGCCACCAACGTCTTGCGAGATGCACAAGTCTGAGCCAAGGATAAGGGCCGTCCGGGACCGAGATTGTGGATAATTTGCACCGGCATACACACTGCGATGCTGGAGATGGAGCGCGGACTGTTTAAGTGAAACAATGACATTGCGTGGAATGGGCCTACCTGAACTGCGTTCAGAGACACTCGGGGGGCCTCCCTATAAGCGCGTTGTTTCAACACAAGTCTGGTGACTTTGAGCATTGTATGGCTTGAGGGCCTTGGTCCACGCTTTGCCGTGCTGCGGAGAGTCAGGGGTTTGACCGAGCTCAGAAGAGTATTTGGTATCTGAAACAACTGATTAGTTGTATGTGCGACAGCTTGGTCTCGTGCTCACCTTTTCAGCGCTGCCTCCAAAGAGGTAGCGTTCAGTTCAGCATCGTCTGGAATTTCGTCCACAACCGGGACCAATCCAGCGAATTTCTCTCCTCCTCTGTACGCAAGCACAGCAGGCACGCCCGCGCCCTCCATTTCCGCCTCCTCAAAGTCCAGCTTGACGAAGCGCGTGGTCGGATGCTTCCTCGCGAGCACCCTCACACAATCCTCCACCATCTCGCTGATCTCGGACTGTAACGCTACGGGTCAGCTGCTGCGCCCAACTTCCCGTGTGACACTGCCACCAAAACGTAGTGTATCCTACCATATCATCACAAATGAACACCACCACCACAGTCCCCGCCCCACTCCCCTCCACAGCCTCCAAATACCCCTCCCCATCCACCTCCACCAGACTCCCAAACACCGTCCTCCTCTTCCCCTCCCTCGACCTCGATCTTGACCCTCCCTGCCCAGGCCGCTGCAACTCCCTCAGCCGCTGCTGCCTCCACCGTTCCATGAAGTCTCCGCTCCCCTCCTCGTCCTCTTCTTCACTCCCCAACAGCCCCTCCTCCTCCCATCCCGCCCCATCAAACTCCGCCGTCTTCTGCGCCCGTGCAGGTGGAGCAGTATACCGCCCCGCCCGTCTCGCCGCCTCAAACGCCTGCGCATCCGCTATCACGCCCTTGGGCCCCGTGTTCGCCCCAGAGCGTAGGCGGGGCACGAAGTCGCGCGAGCGGGTGTCGTTGGGTAAGGGTTCGGCGTCGAGGTCGTCGTTTTCGTAGAAGTGTTCGGGCTCGGGTGAGGGCGAGGGCGAGGGGGAGGCTGAGTCTTCGGGGTGGGCGCGGGAGGCCGACTTCTCGGAGAAGAGGGCGTCGAATTCTTGTTGGGCGGCTGACATCGTGGAGGTCGAGGGAGAGAAGATGATGTTGTTGGCGGGGGCGCGGATAGTGGGCGGGATAATGTACGGATGCGTGCGTGTTACAATGTGCTGAAGGGGGCCGCCTTAGCGGGCTTGTAAGGTGAATGTTTTGCACGGGAAGAAGTTATGGCAATACAGTCATCAAAACGGAGAGGCCACAAGAGGTGCGTGGTGAAGCGGAAAATGTCCCCGCGAGTCAGGCCTCGGGGTGATCCCACAGTCCCTTGCAGTAGCGTGGATCTACCTCAGGGCTGCGAGCCATCTGTACCAAAGATTTTGTGACTCTCGTCTAGCGCCAAAGATCCATGAACCGATCATGCGGCTGAACGGGGGTTTCCATCTGAGGATGTGGACCTGATATGCCCGTACTGCATTATGAGCACCCGCAAAATCCAGTGTTCCAGTAGCATTGTTTTGAGTGGTGATAAGCATATCGAGCACCCTGGTCCTGAAGCTGTAGGAGTGTTCTTCAGGCAACTGTGGAGCATGGTCGGTACAATCCATCACGTCATGGGTTTACGGAGATGTACCACGTATGGTGACAGGTGTCGATGCAAGCTTCGATATCCAGGCACAGGGCACCTCAAGAGATGGATACATGGCCAAGGCATATACTGCTTTCAGCTAGATAAAGGTCTCGCGTCCGTCAGGACTAGTGCATCAAGACGCAGTGTTGTATTCCTGCTGCCTGGTGTTTGGGTCAAGGCTGATACGCTTCACGTGAATTCAGACTGTCTTATAGCGTGAAACCCAACGGCCAGCAAGTCAAGCTCTGTAGGGAATCAATTACCACGCACACAAACCTTCCTTCCCGGCGCATAGTCGGCTCTTTAAAGTGCCTGCAACGGACAAGCCAGGGCTTTTTAGGCTGGCATTAAACGATGAAGCATGCGGAATTTGGTTAGAGCCGAATGCATTAAAAAATAGCCATGAAAGCGGCATTAGGGCGAAGAATCATACGGTAACTGCTAGTGTTTGCTAGATCCAAGGCGGTGAAGACTGAGAGGCCGCCTCGGAGGAAATGGTACATGCATATAGAGATCCACGCCAGAGGAAAGGGCAGTTTTTAGATCGCCGACAGCACTAAGTCAAAGCGAGGAAAAACTGTGCAAGGAAACCGAAACGCATGTACTCAGAACAAGCCCACCCAAAACTCTGAGATAATGTAACACAGTGGGCGCCTTGTGTGGGCAGGACCAGGCGTGGCGAGCGAGCTTCTCAGCCGCGAAGTCGCAACCGCTGACATCGAAGCTCTCTACACGAGGCCTGGCTGTAGTGCCGAAGTGCTGCAGCGGGATATCGCACCATGAAAAGGAATTCCGTAACACCGTCTCTGGAAGGCACGCAATGCAAGCGGATGATGCGGGGGATGTGGATTTGCTGGCCGCCGAGTATGATCCCATAATGGATCTGTGGAGGAATGAGGGATTTGGTGGGGTTTGTTGTGTGCATTTAAGCCCAAATGCGGAGCTGAAGAATGTTAGGCAGCGATACATGAAAGGGGTTGCACGACATAGCAAACATACCATGGAGTCCCATGACCCAGTGCACAAGCTCATTGCATCATTGCTTACGCCCAGACAACTGACGCGGTTATCGTGACCCTGCAACGTGCCAACACGTTCACCTCTCAGAGTATCCCAGACCTGGAAATCATTAGGTATAAAGGCACCTTAAGATCGGCGAAATGCTCTCTTACCTTGCACTCAAAGTCATCGTAGCCAGCGAAGAGCAACCGTCCTGAAACAGAGAATGCAACCGAGGTAATACCACAGACGGGTTCGCCGATCTGCAGTGCCACGTGTCAGCTTGCTTGCGTTACCGGTTTGCATATGCGATGCTTTGAGGGCTGTGAGGCAAAAGCGGTCATACCGTATAGCTCTGGAGCTCCCTATCCGCGCGGATATCGAACAGCCGGCACGATGCGTCATCGGATCCGGTACCAAAAGCATTGCCATTCGGGAAAAATTGAATGGCGTTTATGTCGCTGTCGTGCGCAGCGAACGTCTGCACGCACTTCTGTTGTCTTATGTCCCACAGCTTCGCAAAGGCGTCGCAAGCACCAGAGACGAACTGATTGTTGTCCAAGGGGTTGATGCTCAGACTCATTACATCCCCTAGGTGGTCGGCGAACTCATGAATCTTGGCGCCCGATTCGAGATCCCAGAGCACGCAAGTCATGTCGCCCGATGACGTGAGGATCCTTCGGTCGCTGATAAAACGACAGCAGCTGAGATATCCCGAATGACCCGAGAGTTCTCGCGCAACTCGTGTCGGACCTTCTCGCGCCGAAAGGTTGTAGATGGAGCAAATATTGTCTAAACCTCCACAAGCGACATAGTTGCCGCTTGGTGAATAAGCGCAAGTCATAACCCACGAAGACCGAAGCGGTATGGCATGGACCTTGTTGGTTGTGTACGCATCCCAAACAATAAGCTTTCCATCCTGCGAGGCGGAGACAAGATGTCGGCGATCAGTGGACCAGTGCATAGCGTAGATCTTCGCGAGATGACCCTTCAGTGTCCGCTTCGTCTTCATATTCAGCCTAGGTAGCTGCTCTACACGTTGCCGGGCGACGTCGCGAACTATGGCAAGGCTTGTTAGTGTCGATAGACTCTTCATCTCTGCAACGGACAGAGGTGCTCATCACATGTTTGAGGGTTATCAGGGTGGGCCTTACGAGTGGTGTCTGCCAATTCATCCTTCTTGCGTTTTATTCGATCCTTCAATGCCTCCGCATCGCGCCTCGCGATCTGTATCTTCTGCTGAATCGATTCAGCATTCATGTCGGCCATCTTCGCTCGCGATTATGTCGATGGAACTGGGCGAAGGGCGCGAACGCGAGTGATGGCGGCCGCAGTGACAATCAAGGGGCGAGGCTGGTGAGGGACGAGCGACCGGTGGACGAGGTGAAGTGCTCGACGCAGAACTCAGTCGCAGGAGCTGAAGAGCAGTCGCAGGCGATGCGCCAATCTGCGCCAAGTGGACTCCACAGATGATGGAGAAGTCAGCGAGCGGCAGTGTGAGGTTGCTGCAGCGTTGGAGGGTGAAGGTCCACAAGGAACGACCTCGTCGTTCTAGCTCCTGCCTCCAGCCGCTGGGGGTAAAGCGTAGCCGAGGAACCTTATTTCCACTGCTGGGGTTCGAAATTAGCCAGGGTGACTGGCCGACGCAGAGCAGGCAGGCGATGGTGGAGAACGAAGGAGCTCAGAGATGGGGCGTCAGACGAGATGGAGGACGTCGGATGAGGATGAAGTCGGACGCGGCTGCTTCTTCAGTTTGTGAGACTACGGGGGGCCCGGGGGGAATCGTTCGTTGTTGTGCTCCCGGCCTTGGGGCCCTCTGGCCTTGGGATTCTGGCTCCATTCGGGCTTAGCGCGATGCAGGGGCGCTCCATGCAGTAAATTACAGCCTCGCCAAGGGATCGCTCCATGTCGGACTCCAGTGCTGTTACTCACGTTGTGCATCTCCACAACAGCCGCAGAGAGCGCCGTAGTGGAGAAGCCCCAGTCTTCAGTAATACCGCAATTGCCGTGAAAGCAGAAAACACCGAACAACTCACATTCGATACCAGACTCGCATCAACACCTTTGTAAGTCCCGCTTTGGCAAGGGACCACTCCTGACTCAACAGCCGGAATATATCTTATGCTTTAGCGGTGACTATATCGATTTGTGTTCCGTGGCCTATGTCTGAGACACGACAGAACGGACAGTATGATGGAGGATGGAAGTGTCAATCTTCAGTTCGCTAAGAGACTCCCGAAGATCGAGGTACGCGGGACCACTGTGGTGGTATCTGCTGATTCCATGTCTTGCGGCTTGCGTTCTGACGCGAATCCCACTGACAGCTACACGCCCACTTGAGCGGCAGCATAAGCCGGAAGTGTCTACACGATGTCTGGCTGCAGAAGAAGAGTATTGACCCGGACTTCGACTTGGAGGATCCCCTCCTAGCGATACCTCCGGGGAAAGTAGACTACAACCTCACCACGTAAGTCTTGCGCTTCCTGCCATGTATTCAACATCTTCCACGGCCCCGAGTGCAGCGCGTTCGCTGTCCGTTGCCCCTCCCTTTATATGGTAAATCTGCGTTCTTAGCCATTCAACGGTGAGGCGAGTGCTTTCTATACATCGCTCCTCCGTAGAGGTCGGCAGCAGACAGACTTGTAAAACGCTGCTGTGATAATGCTCAAATTGGCGAATATTACCGACCCTCAGATGCTTGGTTTCACCGTGAGCTTCCTACCTGCGCTGCGTAGTATTTATTATCGGTTCTCTCTAAATTAGCGTTCGCTCTTCTCTTTATCTTCTACATGCTCTCAGTATTTCATGAAAGTCGATAGCTAGCTACATCGTGAGATTGAGAAGCTTGTACAATGCTCTATCACCCACCACCATTCACTGAGGCTCCTGCGGCTTGATCTAGCATAATTGATTAGAACGGCTGTGAGGAGCGTTTTTGCACTTCTGAGTCGAACCGTCATCAATCCTTCTGTACGTTTATTGATTGTGGCGTGGAACTTGATGCTATCTGTTTTTCTGTGAAATTCCTTCGCCATGGATTAACCCGGATCTTTGCGTCCCCCATTCGTGTGGTCTGCGCTCCATGGTAGTGTGTTGAGGTGTGCCTCTATCGTTTCAATCTACTACGGCCACTTATCAAGCTTCTCGGACTCGAACCGAGCTGACCTCCCCAGCTTCTTCCCCCTTTTCTCCTCCTACATTTACAAATTATGTAACGATGTATCAAGCATAGAGTACGCAACCCCTTATCCACAATCAAAAGCCACAGCTCCTGACTAAAACCTCAGATACACAACCGCCGCCGTCCTCGCTGACTTCCAGTCCGACAACGTCGTCTATCTCGAACTCCGCACAACCCCCCGCGCCATCCCCGACGCCGGCATCACAAAATCCACCTACATCCGCACCATCCTCTCCTGCATCGCTCAGCACAACGCCAATCCCACCAACACTCTCCACGCAAACCTCATCCTTTCCATCGACCGCCGCCACACCCCCGCCGAAGCCCACGAGATCGTCGACCTCGCACTCGCTTACCGCCCACATGGCGTCGTGGGCATCGACCTGTGCGGTGATCCCAGTGTCGGCGATGTATCGGCACTCACGCCCGCGTTCCGCCGCGCGAATAGAGAGGGGCTGAAGATCACGGTGCACTTCGCTGAGGCGCCGGCGTCGGCAACGGAGGAGGAGCTGTGGACGCTGCTGGGATGGCAGCCGGACAGGTTGGGTCATGTCATTCACGTGGACAGAGACTCTGCGATCGCGAGGGAGATCGTCAGGAGGAAGTTGGGCTTGGAGCTGTGTTTGAGCTGTAACGTGCGTGCTAATATGCTTGTTGGTGGCGGTGGATATCCGGAGCACCACTTTGGATGGTGGAGGGACTTGGGCGTGCCGATTGCGCTGGGGGTAAGTTTGCTGCTTTGTCGCCTAGCAGATATGAGAGCTGACGCTCTTGGTAGACGGACGATGTGGGCGTTTTCTGTAGCGAGCTGTCGGAGGAGTACCGCGTTGCGGCTGAGCACTTTGGGCTCGGTCATGACGATGTGAGGAAGCTGTGTGAGAGCGCTGTTGACATGATCTTCGGCAGCGACGCGGAGAGAGCGCGGCTGAGTACGCTGTATACTTCTTTGGAGGTTGAGATGAGACGCGGACCGAGTGGCACATGCCAAAGATGTTAGACTAGGAGAAGGCTAGGCCTCCAGGAGCCAGGGAGATCTTGCTGCTTGCATAAACTACAGGCAGGATACCTCCTTGACCTCGATATTCCTGGATCCACCACTGCTCCCTCACAAGTTCATTGTTTGATTCTCCCATTCTTGAGCCAGTGCTGCTGCGTGGTTGTGATTATGACGGACACTTTCCTTTCATCAGCTTAGATCTGTGGAACCGAGCTTAGTCTGTATACCTCCCTTGATACCTATTAACTTAAGAATCTGTCCTTCAAGTCCGTTCCAGCAATTCGTCGTTAACTTCAGACAAGGGGTCTGAGTGTATCCCATCTACGGACCAACGACACCACCCCATAGATCACACACGGCCCTCATCGCCACCAACGACTCCCATACAGACCCCATCAAACCCTCAGGTCCCGGCTGAGAAGTCCACTTGCATAGACGATACCAGACTCGCACCATGAACTCCTCACCCGCTGGAAACACCACCACTCCAGCCCCACCCTAGCCCCCTCAACAACACCCAGAGGCTCACAACCATCACCACGGCCCACATCCCTGGCGGATGCTTCCAACCGGCTTCATAGTCCCCGCCTTCGAGACCATTATTGAGCATCAACCACTGATGACAGTCCTTCCGCCCCATCACCCGCGACGTAACGTCCCACGAGCCGAGAAGACACAGCAAGTGCTCCCCGCCTCCCTGTTCGTCACCGACGCTGTACATCAGGAGTCTCAGAGCTCGACCGAGCTGGGCGTAGGGGGCTAAGGGCCGTACGGAGGGGAAGCGGTGGATACTTCCGGAGAACAGCATGGCTGATTGGCTGGAATGCTGCCGTGATGCCTTAGTTGGGTTGATAGTGGACCACGCGGAGACGGAGCGGATGTGCACAACGTTCATGGTTCGTTTACTCAATTCATTTAGCGGGATGGCTGGTGGAGCAGTCGGGAGACCAGCGAGATAAAGACGCGCGGTGGGATGCGTCTCATCTTCATGAATCTGCTGGCTCTCCTTGCTGCAGTAGTCTGATGCTACGTTTGGTCCGAAATCCAGCGCGATCGTGATGTAATCAGTTATTGTAGCCCTGCCTTTGCTCTTGTCAAACGATACGGATGTATTGCCGGAAGTGGAGCAATAGATTCGCGTGTGCATCAATGCCGCAGACAGCAGCTCATATATAGCATTATATCCTGTGGATTGCTTGCATTAGGTTACGGCTTTACTCCAATGCTTTGACCGGACACGTTGCTCGCAGTCTTTTCGCTTATCAAAATTGACTAGTGCACGATGGCGAGCGGAAAGAGGCAGGTACATCCACTCTGCACCGTCCTGACAGGCGGACCAGCGGGTCCGATGGAAGTGGAATGTAGAGAATTGCGGAGGGAGCTAATGTATAGACCAGACTGTTCCTACGACAGAGGGTAGCCGCGGGAAGCCGTGCTCGGTGGAAACGTAGTCATTCGTGTTGTGCAGGCCTGTGAATAGATTGTGATAGGAATGAAACATTCTTGTGCGGTGCGAAGGGAGTGCAAGGCGGAGGGACAGGTATTGTTACTACTCGTGCATTAGGTGTTTACGATGACGTTGGTTGAAGACTGTTGAACGGCGTGTATAAGGATGGTGGCGCTGAGGCGGTATGGTGTTCGAAGCAAGTAGAGGATATATCAAGAATTCCTGTCCGTAGTTCTCGGTTAAAGGGCTGTTATTCTGTATGACGAGGACTTAAAGAGCCATTGTAATGAGTGGCTACACGCTGTCCGCCTCGGCTACGGTTGAGTGTGGCGATGCTGTCTTTCACGTCGTAGTGAAGTAGCTGTTCGGCGTCCGGGTAGGACCGGTTTGTGGCAAGTTCTGAATCGCTTTTCACTGTCAATGAATCTGTGGCCGGTCGGTCAGTCTGGTACACGGGAAAGAGTGGAGTGAGGTGCATCGTGCTTGTATTTGCTCTGATATGTACGCCTGTTTCAAGTACTTAACCAAGCCTTACGGATGCGTCTGCATCGCTCTTCGCTCTGCTGAGCCTAAAGCTGGATGACAGTAGATGTCACCGCGCTTGATGAATTCGTTAAGACGACCGGCGTCTGTCCGCTCGATACCCTGATGTTGCGTGCCTTGCGCGGCTTAGATACTGGTTCCTCAAATTCATCATCGTAGTCAACGACAAGACCAAAGCCTGTGACTGGATGGTTAACACTGCGCACTCGCGTATATTGCACGTCCGGATTCTTCGAGAATACTGTCTTACCAGCCGCAAGCTCTGGACGAATGAAGCGTACAAACGCCTTGTCTCTTCCACCTATGAGCCTGAGCATGCTTTCTTGAAAAGCTTCCGCATTTCGAAGGCAGAGTGCAGACAGTAGCCAACCGACAACCGGGACAGACACATCCTGAACATAGGGCCGACTTTCGAGCAGAAGGTCGTAGAGACTTTAGTCAAAATCTGCTCGGGAAGGCAGACGCGTATGGTAAGAATAGGGCGGGACTTGGGTGTCAGCGAGGAGAGAGACACGCTGAGAAGAATGCTTTTGAGAACTTGGTTCTTCCATTCGAAGTCGGCTTCTGTGGCTGCACAGTCTCTGGAGGAAAGTCACTGCGTTTGATCTTACCTGCTCCGCCGTAGGCTTTTTGCGGTCGAACAGCATGAGCCCGCTCGAGAAGCAGCAATAGTCTAGTTGACGACTAGAACTTTGTAGAACTGTCATGTAAAAATGGCAGAGTTCCTTCGACGAGAGGAGGCATGCTCCAAGACGCATATGCTTGGGAGTCTGTTCAGAAAGGCCAGCCACCTGCAATCATGCCATGGTACATACTATTTAGCGCTTACAACGATTCCACGAGTATTATTCCCGGCCTCTAGTAGGTTTCTGCCCTTATCGGCGCCAAGAGTGTTTGTGATGCAGCTCAATTGACAAGGGTAAGTAATGAAACCGCTCCCACGACGGAGCACGGAGTATACTCCGACTATTGAGTATCGAGGCTTCGAGCGCCGTTCGCGATGGAAATTAGTTACCCAGTTAGGTAGCTATTTCGCTCTGCTCATAGCGGTGATTGTAACTGCCGATACGATAGAAGGCGGACCGTCTGCGGAAGTAGATCTGCTGGTGACTACGGGTACCAGCATGGAGATCTCATATTGGGAAGCTACGAAACTCAACCATGATAGAGCATAAACGCGGCGATTAGGTTCATCTAGAATATGAACATTGTGACTAAACTCAGCCATGGCATGCAATAGGCCTAAACTCGGTCGTCTATTTCATGCCTCGATAGCAGAGCTGTTGAGGCTGGCAACGTGAAAAGTGGCATCGGCGATGGACTTCACATTGGACTGGCTCTTGTCGAGGGCGGTGGTCATCAAGCTTCCCACGGATCAGAGCGGAAACTCCTTAGCAGTTGGCTTTCGTACTGGGACCAGAGTATCAGTTGCAGATGCGAACAATGCCGCCCCAATATACAAGTTCTTACATGTGCACGGCTTTCCAGAGTGTAAAGAATGCGGGAACATCCCATCTTAGGGTGGAGATGGCTGAACGATAGGATTCTTTGTGGCAGTAAAGCTGCCAACAGGATCTAACCACTAAATCATGCAACGTTCGCACAATCCGGCTCGAGCGCTAATGCCAAAGTTCGTCTCCCCTTCCTCAGCACACATCTTCGGTCGATATGAATTCTGAGGTTGCGGGAACCGTTGTGCTGAGCCCCATACCGCACGAAGGCATGACGAAACGGGATTCACCCATGCCCCACTGCTGGTTGACAATCGGAGGCTTTGGCCTGGGGAAGATATCTCCGGCGAGCCGGCAAGCGGGTGGGTACAGGTCCTTTCTATCGGAGTCGGTGACACTACCGTCGAGCTGCATGTGAAGCGCCAGGTGACGGGAATCCCACGTAGGATGGTTCAATATCCGTCCCAGGGTGCTGCTTTCTGCCTCTGCACGTTGACCGTTGCAAAGGGGTCGATGTGATAGCCTGGAACAACACGGAAGCAGCGCATGGGGCCACGACGTTCCTCGTACCGACATGCTTTGAGCGTAACTGACAGCTCCAGCTAATTCAGCCCTACTCTGGTCCCGGCCTGACCCGTGAAGCTCCCTTCCCCAGCATGTGGATCCCCTGACGCGTCAAGGTCCAACACGCCATAGCTAGGGTAGATTTTTTCTCCGACGGGCGATCCTTCCGGCTTAACCTTGCAACCATGCTTCTGCGAAGACGAACATCAACTACGGCTCGCACAGAAGCCTCTCTTCATGATCCAAGCAAGCCTCTGACCCTCCCAATCCGCGTCAGCGCTTCTTCCAGCCTGTCGAGCCGCTTCGTTCGCTCCCGATCTCGCTCCTCAAGCACCTCGATCCTCTCTTCCAGCTTCGCCCGCGCCTTCCGCTCCTCGGCCACCATCTCGTTCGCTTGCTGGAACAGGTTCACGCTTAGGTCCTCGATCTCCACCGACATCTGCGTGACTTTCGCCTCGGCCTGCTCGCGCAGATGCCGCTCGTTCGCGAGTGCCACCATGAGCGCGTGTGGATCGGAATTTCGTGTTGGGAAAACATCAGGATCTGGGTTGCCAAGAGTGGGCACAGTAACTGCAGAGGCTGCCTTACGCGAGAGGAAGGAGAAGCGCGATTTGCTCGTAGTGCGGGTTACACAAGGCCGAGCATTGCCGGCCTCAAGCGAAGGCCTATCTGTGTCTTCAGAGGGTTGGCCGGCGCTGGGGAGGTTGTCTCTGGACGATTTGACCTGCTGGAGGAAGCGGTCCTCGTAGTCGGCAATCTTGTCCGCTGGCGAAGGTGATCAGCAGTGGCATTGACGAGAGAGTAAGGCTCAATGCCCGGCGCTCAATGGATACCTTGACGTACCAGCAGCGGTGGCCTTGCCGGTCAGTATCCCAATCTGGGCCTCTAGCTCAGCGACTCTTTGCTGGGCTTCTTGATCCTGCCGTCGTGGGAACGCGATGCCACAGACAGGGCAGGCAAAGGTCTCTACACAGGTACATTGCAGCTCTGTGGCAAGCACAGCCGCTGCAACGGCTGCGGACATGGATGGCACGCTCGATGGAGTATGAAGTGGCCCTGGGAATAAACGGCAAGGCTTGACAGTGATGCACGTCGATGGCAGCCCTGGAGAGCTGCACCGAGAGCGGACTCGGAGTCGTGTCGACCTGCCCAGCGCCGGCGCCGATCCGCCGGCAGGGCCCTCGCTAATAGCCGGCGCTTGGCCTTGCGGGGTTAAGCGAATCCTGGACCTGGCACAGCGGGGGCGGCCCTTCCAAGGTTGTGCGCATGGCGGGCACGGGCACGGGCACGGGCACGGACCTCTACCGCCCAGGGGTGGGTGTCTCGGCAACGTCCAAGGCGTCCAAGGTCCCGCGGTTGATGTAGCTGCTGTGCTCCCGAAGTAGCTTGATCAACAGCGATGCAGTCGGAGACTTTGCGAGTCCCATGTACCGCATGCGTCAGCCCGCTTGTCGGATGAAGCCTGAGGTGCCCCCACTACGCAGCCTCCTCCCGAGCAGGCGGGACACGTACCACGACAATTGGCACGGGATGTTGCGGAGATATTGCTCAGCATATGATCTGAGGCCAGTCCCTGGCTAAACAATGTGGGGTCTTCAAGCTAAGGAGCAGGGAATTTAGAGCCCTGCATGTGGGAGATCTCTCTCCAAAATTGCCAGTTCCAATCTGCGTTCACGCGTCTCCAGGACGGCCTGGCCATAGAGTGATCCATCGCTTGGGTGTTTGGCTGCTCGGTCCGACGTCCTACCTCCGTGCCACGTTCTAAAGCAGCAAGGAGACATCGCACCTCTTTCGTGGAAATGATTGCACGGCTCAGATCAGTGTGCGAGAAAGGCGGAACCACCATCTTATCTGGTTAGCCAGCGAGCCTCGCAGACTGATCACACCACCGCCCCTGCCGCCCTGCCGCCCTGGAAAGAAGCAGCCTCACACTGTACCAGGGGGACCAGGTGCGCTGGGACTAGCAGCTAGCGACAGCACCTACCTTCCAGTACCCTATCAGGTCCTGCTCGTTGTGGGTCGTGATGTCCGGGGGGCCCAGGCCATACAGCACCTACGGTACGAAACGCCGAGCCTGCAGGTGGTCAACGACTACCAGGCTGAGAGCCGCCTGAGAGTTTTGACAGTTGGATGGCAGACCCAGGGTAAGAAAAAGACGCGATACTGCAAACGTACCATGGATGAGTTGACCCCACAACAGGAGGATTTCGCTGTCAGATTGGTGACGCATATCCTAGCTGAGCAAGGATATGCATGGGATGGCTGAAGCGCTTCCAGCTGTTGGTGTATCAGTACCGCGCGAGATCACAATGTGAGCGTTCCGGATCACCTAAGTAGGAAGCCATGAAGCAGCATGCTGAGGCTTTAGACTTCAGACTTCGCCGACATGTGCGCGGGCAATGCTCACGAGGCTGATCGAATGCGGCAGTGGCAGACTGTACTTGGACGTTGCCATACGTGTTCGCAGCTTATATGCAGCCTCCCGCCACAATCAAGCGGACAGACGGCGGAGTGTCGTTCAGGGTTCGAAGACAGCCACATGCGTGCGACGGAGCACACTTTGCTGCACGAAGATCGCAATGGGTCTTTCTTGGAGTACTAAGAGGCTGTCTGTGAACGTTCCGCGAGGGGTGATGGAATCTACAGTTACCGTTGGTGAGGGGAGGGGGTGGCCAGAAGAGCCACAGAGTTTATCTTGGCGACCTAAGCTTACTCGGAAATATTTATGCTTTGCAGTAGCTTCATACTGAAAGCTTCGCGGCGATCCTGTTCTGATGGGGCAGAGAATTGCCCCGCCCTTAGATACGCCAAGTGAACTTGAGGGTTGCGTGCGACGGAGATGGTTCTCGAGCGTGGCACTAATGACCGCAGATGCGCGAAGGTTCATCACTGAGTACTAGAGCAGACAAAGCAGAGTCCAAAAGTAAGCACAATCTTGAATATTGAAGCTTAGCACTGCCTCGATCGCTTCTTGGGTGTTTTCTGACGGCGAAGTAAACCTTGCCCGTCAGCCAGCGACCATCCATCACAGACCCCGAGTCGTTCCGCCCAGGGAGTTGAACTTTGACACATGGGCCAGCCGCCGTTGTGATAGCAGTCACGTACTCGGGACATTGTCAACTGCTTGCATCGGATATGCAGGAGACGACGGATGAGCGTGGAAAGGGCGGGCAAGAAAGCAGTGTGGAGAACGCGACGGTAGCGCAGCAAGCACCGGATAGAGGGCGCGGGCCAGTCACACTCGCAGAGACGGTGAGGCTGGTAACCTTTGGCCATGGCGTCGAAGTTGAGACGAGTGGAAGGTTGAGGGTCCGCCGCGGAGGAGGAGAGAGCTCCACTGGGAGCCTGCTCCGGTAGCTACCTACCTCAGCACAGACGAGGTGCATTTCGTAGAATTACTGCCGGTGATAGCGTTTCACAATCGCACGTGAGATCCTGCCTGGCCGTCGAATCTGGCGCGCATCGCTGTCGGGAGTAGGACGGACGCTGTCGTCGGCTTCTCGGTGGCGACGTTCTATTCTGCCACCCGAGCGGCGCCGGGGCTACCACCGGCGGCGGGAGCAAGCGCCGCACACAACGGCCCTGGTGCAAAGCTCGTGACACTCGGGTACACTGCAGGCCGGGGCAGCAGGGGCTTAGCGTGCCGCGCATGATTGGCTCTCGGATGCGGCCGGTGGGGCGTGCCAGCTCCTGGTGGGGCCATCTGTCACGTCATGGATGGTAAAGTGCATTCTCTCGAAATATGCCATTTTCTCGAAGCAGCCCTGTCGTGCCAAGCGCCGTCGACTATCTTAAAACTAAGCGTCAGAGAGAACTTCGAGGACCTTTCTCCGAGCACGTAGCAGGCAGACTGCACATTTGTTTTCACTGTTGTCAATCACCTCAGTCTCGTTGAAGCAGCGCCGTCAACCCAATTGGCCGGCCCAACACTCGCACAACACTCCGAGCCTGCTCTGCCTGCTCTGCCTGCCGCAGTTCTTGTTCCTTTGGTACATATTCTCTGCCGGGCCCCAGAGTCGACCCGTTCACATCACCTGCCTCACCTGCCGCTTGGATCCAGTTGCGCGCCGCTCCACTGCGCGCTCGACAGACTCACTATCTGCCGGACTGCCTGGCCCAAGGTGTCGCAGACGGAGCGGTACAGCGTCGATTTGTCGCCACGCGGTGACAACGACAGGAACGAGCTCAGCCGTTCTTCCTGGGATCACCCGTGGCGGTGCGAAAGCTTGCGGAGAGTTTGGAGCGGCCGTGCGGTCTGCAGCCAATCAGAAGGCCTGGTCGCGAACATCGAAGACCACAACTGCATGCGAGTCGAAGTCCTAGCTTCTGCACTTCCCCTCGCCGTTCCGCCGGTGCCATCTCCTACCCCTGCAACATCGACAATTGTGACAAAATCGCCTCTGCGAACTGACGGACCTGAAGCTGCTCAACGTCTTGCACCTCGGTCACTTGGACTTACCTTTCCTCAACACAGCCCGTTCTACAACCCACGGTTCTGCTCCGACCGCAAAACAACTCTCTCAACATCGACACTCGGAGCCAAGAGCCGCGCGCCACGAGTCCGCCTGGAGCGTCAGCGTGATCCCTGTTTGCAAGTGGAGAAATCTTTGAGATCGAAGATCGAAGAAAGTCAGAAGCGTGTACAAAGGCAAGCCCTTGTGATCTACTTGAAGTCCTCGTCGCCCAATTTGTCCCGCCGTTCTCATTCTCACTCCTTTGAGCCAGCAATGCGCAGAGACGGCCGACACAATGCTGACTCATGTTCCCAGCTCACGCTACCGGCTAGATCCCTGCAGTCCAAGCCCTTGCCAAGGTCCGTTGCGGATGCACGACTTGATCGATATGGACCATGGTCAGGACTCGACAACTGCGTTCCTACAGCTGGACAACGCATGCCTCTGGGACGGCCGACCAGACTCGGCGCTAGATGCTGGGACCGACGTCGCCTACGGCTTCTCGCCCACTTCCCGCGCAATGCGATTTGATCCACCCATGTACCAGCAATCAATCGCTTGGAACGACGGCTACCTCAATTTGCCCAACGTCACCAAAAGCGTGGCTTGGCAGCAGATTGCGAAACCGTTGCCGCATTTGGCCATCCCTCCATCAGTGTACGCTCGGCAGAAGCACGGGCAGATAACACCACCAGACGAACGCTCTCCAGAGTCGGGCGAGTCCAGCCCATCGGAGAAGCCAGAGACATTTGACGGTGAGGAGGAAGACGAGGTAATGGAGACAGAGGAGAACATTCAGGCGAGCTGTCAGCAGGGTGCGGGTAGACGGCGAAAGTCGACTCAGAAACAAGAGGGAGATGACTCGACAAGCCCTCGTCGCAGGAAGCGAACCAAGCTTAGCAACCCCGAAGAGAATCCTGAAGAATTCGTGAAACGAGAGAAGTTCCTCGAGAGGAACCGTGTTGCGGCAAGCAAGTGTAGACAGAAGAAGAAAGAGTGGACATCCAACCTTGAGCAGCAGGCACGAGAGCTGACAGCGCAGCGAGCTCACCTGCAGGCCTATGTAGCGTCTCTGAGGGACGAGGTCCTGTACCTCAAGGATCAGATGCTGAGGCACAGCGACTGCAACTGCGTCAAGATGCGGGAGTATCTGAGTCACTCCGTCAGCAACATGTCTCCACCGATGTCTTCAATACGCCAGCTCGCGGACGTCATGGATCTGGATCACAAGTCCTCCGCATGCTCGCCATCGGATGTCAGTGTAGCAGAATCCATGCCACTCTCTCGGAGGGACTCGACAGTTACGCTAACGTCGCGCAAAGGGAAGATGCCGGCTGTGAGCCCTACGGTCTCGGTGGCTTCTCTGGGAATGTCGAGCATGATGTCGCCGCGACAGATGCTCTACGGCCAGTGATGCAACAGGGACCCAGGACTTTGCGGATTGCTGCTCGTGTTCATTTGCTGCGCTCAACGACTTGGTCCTCGTCCTGGCTGGGTGGTCTGCGACGAACGATACGAGTGGATCTCTCCTTGGGTTGGTGTTGTGGTGCTCCGATGATGGTATACTAACGGCGTCGAGTTTGATTTTGGGCGGCCTCGTGTTTGTTGCTAAAAGTGGCTGGTTTGCCACGCTTCCTGCGGGAGCCATCTTGACAGTCCAGCGGTTTCTGGGACGTTCGACTGAGTCGTGGGGATGTTGGTGGATATGGACATCGATGCGGAATGCGAGCTTCTCATCCTGCGTTTGGTATTGTTTGCAGCAAGGTTTGGCCAGCGGACAGCTGCACATGGGAGCCGCAACGCACGTCGTGTTGGGCCCTTCCACCTCTTGCTTCTTGGTCTCTTGCAACGGAGGATGTGTGCATGGTCTCTCTGGTGTCTTTGCTTTTTCTTGGTGCGCTGCGGTGGCGGCTTTCTCTCTGGCTTCGATGATGGAGGGGAGCTCCAGGGCTGGTCTCGCTTTGCAACGACGACCGGGTCGGCGGTTGAGAAGCTCATGTTGCTACGAACTAGCACACTCATGTCAGTAATGAGGGAAACGAGAGAGACAACAAAAAAGTGGTAGTCTTATCCATGGTTTGCCGAATAGCAGGGTGCTCTTGTGTATTTGTATAATGAAGTCCCTTCTTGAAATCTGTGCCATTTTCGGGTCTCGCTTCGTGTCTCGTACGACGTGAAGCTTTTCTTGCAACCGAGCCTTCCTAGAGGTGGGAGACGATTGGAAGTGACAGCTGATGGGACCCAGCCTCTTGAAATACCCTCCTGTCCGACGGGAGCGATTGGCGGGTTGTTGCGCAACTCTGCAAGGTAGCGTCCTGACGAAAGCATGACGCCACGGCCCAATGATTCGCGCGAGAGATGGTAATCTTCTTCTGGTTACGCGGATGTAATAGGCGATTGGGGGATAGACCAGGTATACCAAGATTCCGTACTGGGAGGTTCCGTCTTGGTGGGCGCATTCACTTGGAAAAGTCTGATCATCTCTTAGAGGATGGAATGTTGGTGGGCGAAGAGCAAGCGGAGCGCACGGGTTGTGAAGTTGTGGAGTATACTCCGTCGCGGGGGATCCTGATATAAATGCGGTGTTGTTGGCCAGTTCTCATGAACATTCAAAATGATTGAACCGCGTCGCGCTTGCCGATTTGAATGGTAAAGGAAGTCAGGCTGTCGAACCCGAGTCGGAGATGTCCAGCACGACCAGATGTGCGATTCTGTTAAGGATGGATCATGCTCGTAAGGCATCCAGGCACTCAGGACCCTGCGCCGGAGCTGCACAACATGGGCGGCTGCTAACTTTAATAGATGGGCATGAGACTATTTTTGCGCCCGAACAGCCATTCTAGCGCCGGACGAGGCTTTCCACTTGAGCTGGACAGATGACGGAGAATGCCTCTGACCACCGCTAGAGAGAGTCAGATGCGCCGTTTTGGTGACGTTGTGCGACCGCAGCACCCACCGGAGATAGACACGCCGCCGGACTGCTTCATTCTCGCGCATACCGAGTTTGGTGACTGAGAGGAACCTTGGAAGAGAGTGCGCAGACGTGTGTTTATTGGAGAGGACAGAAGGATGAAAAAGAGAAAGGAAACCAAAGCTGCGTCTCTCTCCATCTCGTGTTCATCCACGGTCGAGGGAGACGACAAGACAACGGAGATACCACCGCCGGCTAATCATTTTAGTCCCATTGGTGGGCCTAGACCCAGATCGGATTCGCAGTCAACCACGCGATCTCTACCAAGATGTCGTGAAGCCCTCGGATCCTTCCGGGGTCTATGCAGCGGATCAGACTCGCTAACAGCCAGAAACGGTTAACGAAGGGTCGTCATGGTATAGAACGAGTCATCATACGGCTCAAACATGCTAGCGGGCAGGGTCAAGATCACGTTGCCATCAACGCATGTCTCTCTTTTTGCACAAGACGCGAAATTTCGGTTCACCCAACATCACGCGCGTGTAGTAAATGAGAGTACATCCTGCGTTGTGGCCTTCGCCATGTCCAAAAGTCCTTGACTGGATCAGGCACGCCTTTTCAGCTTGACACTGAAAAACGTGCTTGTTCCAGTATACCCTAAGTCCTTTCACTAGTGGCACTTGAGCTCCAGATACCACCCGTCACCATTATCCAGGCACTGTACAAGATTTTCATAGGTCAGATAGTCTCCTAAAAGTTCATCTCGATCTCCTCCAGAACCAGCATCAGGGGCGCGCAAAAAGGCAAAAACATACGGCAGTAGGTATTCGCTAGTGGTCACCCACCTAACTACTAATCTACCGATTCAAAGCTTATGAAGTGGCAGAGCGGAC